GGTACGGCGTAAAGCCAAGGATCACTCACTTAAGAGTAATTGGAACTATTTGTTACCCACATATTCCGAAACAAAGAAGGCATAAGTTAGATAAAAAGGCTCAGAAGGGAATTTTAATTGGCTACGACTCCGATGAAGGCTATCGTATATGGGATAATATACAGCAAGTCATAGTAAGATCGAGAGACGTAACTTTTAATGAAACTCCCTTAGTATCACCTATAAAAAGTATGGCAAATTCAAAGAGCGAACTAGAAAATATACAAGAGTCTGAGCAATGTAAATATAGAACTGAAGAGCAACAGTCAAATTTTCAATTTAACTTTCCAAATATTGACGTGGAATGTGAAAAAAACAGGACTCTTAGAGAACCTTCCATAAGAAATAATGATGATAATAACGAGATAACAGAGCCTGATATTGTTAATGATAATAACGATAATATAATTGACAGTACTGTACCAATATTGTTAGGACAGCATAATGGATCTGAACAGTCAGTGGACTCAGACAGTCAAGACGTAGATGAGGCAGCGGCTAACACTGCACCGCTTTCTGCAAGTGAAGTAGAGAATGAAGGCAGTATGACGCTTAGAAATAGAGCAAGTCTCAGACCTCCAAATCGTTACGGTGATTTTATATGTAATATCTGTAATGTTAACTTGACTGAAGAATCTCTGTTAGAACCAACTACGTTTAAACAAGCTATGATAAGTACTGAATCTGACATGTGGCGTGCTGCTATGGATACTGAAATTAATTCCCTTCAAGAAAATCAAACCTGGGAAATGGTAGATTTGCCCAAGGGTAGGAAAGCGATTCCTTGCAAATGGATTTATAAAATCAAAACTAATCCTGATGGTACTATTGAGAAATATAAGGCTCGATTAGTAATAAAAGGATACTCGCAGAAAAAGGGACTTGATTATTATGAAACATTCAGCCCTGTAGCAAAGACAAGTACTATAAGAGCTGTTCTTAGTATTGCTGCACAAGAGAATTTAACCTTATCCCAATTTGACGTCACCACTGCATTCCTTTATGGAAGTCTAAACGAAGAAATTTATATGAAACCTCCTGAAGGATACAACGACAATTCAGGAAAAGTATGTAAACTCAAAAAGTCTCTATACGGTTTAAAGCAAGCACCGAGATGCTGGAACCATTGTATTACAGAGTACGTTTTGAAAATTGGATTTGAGCAAAACTCTAGCGATCCATGCCTTTTTATAAGAAATAAAGATAAGAAGGATAGAAAGCTTATTCTAGCGCTTTATGTTGATGACGGATTGATTGCATCTAGTAATCCGAAAGAGACTGAAAACTTTTTCAATGAGATGCGACAGCAGTTTAAGATTACTACCAAATCCGGCAGTTATTTCTTAGGAATAGAAATAGAGAGACACGTTGATGGATCAATAAAAATCCATCAACAGGGATATTCAAAACGATTGCTTGAAAGATTTGGAATGCAAAATTGTAAAGCAGCTGTAACACCCATTGTGAAAGATTCTAATATACCAATTGAGAAAGAAAAGGAATCTATCACATTCCCATATCGACAAGCGGTTGGAGCACTTTCTTATCTAGCGATAGGAACGCGCCCGGATATAGCATATGCACTTAGCGTTGTCTCTCGAAATCTTGACAATCCTTCATCAGAAGATATAACAAAAGTGAAGCGAGTTTTACGCTATATCAAAGGTACCACAGATTACGGTATCACTTATCAATCCTCTGTAAAGTCGTGTATACTGAGTTACAGTGACGCGGATCATGGTGGAGATACTGTAACTGGACGATCGACATCTGGAATGATTTGCTTGTATTCTAATGGTGCTATTGCATGGCAAAGCAAGAGACAGTCTTCAGTCGCAATATCATCCACTGAAGCTGAGATTGTAGCAGCCAGTGAAACTACTAGAGAACTTATATGGCTAAAAAGGATTCTACAATTCATGATAATGGGAGATGTCACTATGAAGCTTTATTTAGACAATGAATCAGCTATAAGACTGGCTCACGACCCACCCTTTGAGTGTCACCAGAGAACAAAGCATATTCGCCTTAGACACTTTTTCATTCGAGAGTGCGTCATTTCAGGATGTCTTGAAGTCTTCAAAACTGATGGAGAGAATCAACTAGCTGACTTCTTGACGAAGCCTCTCTTTAAGCCAAGATTGATGCAACTTTGCAAACAAGTTGGATTAAAAGAGGAGACCGGATGTTAAGAAGAGATCTTTATCTAACAATGATAGTGCTCTTCTTTATCTGTGCGTTACCTAGCAACTTGTTTTGTTAATGTTCTGTCGAAATAAATATTACTTTCACTACAAATATACGTACTAATATTCTATCTTAAATCTATTACATTTCCTGTTCCCTTTGAATTCTTAAAGAATATGGGGTCTTCATCAATTTTTTTAAAGTGCCCCCAGAATGGTAACCAATTCTTTAGAATTCCGTCAAACCTTACTATTTCCAACCTGGGTAATTGTAGCTTCGCTGGTTTATTAGATTCTTTTTCATTAATTTTATTTATATCTTTATTAAAATTTTCGGCCATTTGCTCGAAACGCGTATCTAGAAGAAGCCATCTTGTTTTGTAATTTTCAGCTTCTTCATATTCTTTCTCGAGCGTATTTTCTGAAAAGTCCGGATCTTCCAGTATTAACGACTGTATTTCTTTATCAATATTATTTAAATTTGCCCATATATCATTCATTTTTCTCCAACAGGCCTTTTTCGGTCATTTTTATTTCTGACCCGTCCATAATGGCTTCTAGGGAGTTGGTCGTTTTGGTAAATAGGCGTCTCTGTACTGAGCGTTGTTTTAATTTAGCGTCCATTATGAACTTTACGGTCGCCACGTTTAAAATATTGGTAATGAGGGTTCGAAGGGCGCATATATTATTTATAAACGCAATCAGTAAACAAAATAAAACACCAACTTTTTGAGCTTTCCAATGACAACACTATATTTTTTAAATCATTTATATTCTACAGTTTACAAATGGCCAGTTTGAAGTTTAACATATACTGCTGCCAGTGAAAAATTATAAATAAAAACGAAAACAGTCCAGTTGACTTATAACGACAAATTCAAGATACAAAGATCATAGTTTTTTTTACCTTATAGCTAATAACAATGAAATAAAACATAGAATGAATTATAAAATAAATATTGCCTCCTTTCTTCTTATGCAAATATAATTAGTAAAAAGAGGACGAAAAGTACACCATCAGTTGCAACTTTTGTCAATTCATAGTAGGTTAGTGTATAAAAAATGTTTGATATATCAATTATTTGTCAAGGATCTATATTCGACACGGTTTATATAGAAAATATGCAAGCATGTCGTATCTGAGGTTATACGGCCGTATAACATTTTAAAAGTAGCCCTAGTCTCTAGTGAAGCAATTGTATTACGCGCAAACTCGACGACTTCTAGTCATCCGAAAAACTGGCTTCCAAAAAGGCTGTAGCACAATAGACAATATATATACGCTACCGCAGATTATACAAATGACCGAAAAGTATAATTTGCCACTACGTCTAGCGTTTATGAATTATAATAATTCCTAAGATTCGATCGAATCGTGGGCGGTACTACAATGCCTCTAGCGGTGCCAGATTGATTATAGGTATATGGAAGTGTTAAAATGTATGTACAGTAAGCCTACGATGTCTATCCGAGTAAGAAACCCATCCCAGTGCAGAAAGATATAAGACAAAGGGTGACATCATACCCCGAATCTATACGGGTGCATTGGAAGATGTTTTCACCCTTTTGGACTAGAAAAGATGTTATATAAACATCAATGGCGAATCACTCATCAATCACTCACCTTCGATTTGCCGATGATATTGTAATCATGGCGGGACCCCTGGAGTATTTAAATACTATGCTTAATGACCTCAATGGTGCTTCTCAACATATGTTTTAAGATGAACATGGATAAGACTAAAATCATGTCTAACGTCCATGTTGCGCCTATACCGGTTTCGATTGAGAACAGTACACTCGAAGTTGTCGACGAGTATGTATTCCCGTGTGGTCACACATAGAATAGGCCACCCCTTTCTTTACCGTGGGTGTTGATAGAAGCGACTAAGGGAGGGCGAGGGATGGGCAGCAGCGTTCTATGTATGATGTATACCTGGAACAACTTATCCAAGATAAGTCCAACTTTGACCGAGGGGTCAAGTAACGAATCCAATGCGGCTGGGCAGTGTTAAGAAAACTACGCCATATCTTTTCCAAAATACCTTAAAATTGGGAGGCGAAGGTTATTAATCAATCTGTGTTGCCATTGATGACTTATGGAACTGAAAATGGTCCTACACGACTGCTCGTATATAAAATCTTCAAATTACTCAGCGGACTATGGAGAGGGCTATACTCGCAGTATCTTTGCGTGATAAAATCCAAAATGAGGATATATAAGCAAGCTGAAGTGGCAATGGGCTGGTCACATAGCTCGAAAAACTGACAACCGATGGGGAAGAAAATTTTTGAGTGGCGACCCCACACGAGCAAATGCAGTGTTGGACGACCTCTCCCTCACTAGTAGGAGTGACGAGCTTAAATACATTGTAGGAAGTCAGTGGAAGCAGGTGATTCAGGACCATTTCTTATGGCAGTCTACGGGGAACGCCTACAACCAGCAGTGGACGGATAATGGCTAAAATGTTGATAATAAATAAGACGAATAGATATATAATTTATTTGCATCGCTTATTTATATTATTTATTACAGCAATTCATTTACTGCAGTTGATAATAAATAGATAACTAACATTATTTTCCAATTCTGATTTTTTCATTTTGGTTGTACTTTGTAAAAAGCATGCTAGACATAAAAAAAGGTATTAAAATTTTCATTTTAATATTTCTTTCTATTCACTCCGCAAATTCTATTAACCCTGTTCAGTACACATAGAGTAGGTCCAAATGTACTTATTATACATATGGGCAACACTAGTCCTCTGTCAAATATTCAAAAATATTTGATTTCATAATAAATACCTAACCTAAATAATTATCTATCTATATTATTTTTTTATTCATGTCATAAATAAACATAATTTTTTTATGTTATAGTAATTACAGCGTTAAGATTGTAATTTCTGTACCTTAGGTTAAAGTGAAATAAAAAAGATTCATATGAATTTTATGTTACTCTCGGTTCCTAAAACTTGCATGTGAATCTTATTATAATGTTCAAACGAATAGCTCTTGGTATTTCAGGAGGAGTAGATAGTGCTGTTGCAGCATTGCTTCTTAAGAGAGCAGGTAGATTTATGTTAAAATTTTACGATAGAAATCACTAAGAATACTGATGCTGGATATAGGCACTCTCCAGGAAATGAAATTTTCAGACAGTGTATTTATTATTTTACAGGATACCAAGTTGAAGGAGTTTTTATGAGGAACTGGGATAGTAACTATGAAGCTGGTTTTTGTTCCGACGAAAAAGATTTCGAAGATGCAACTTTCGTATGTCGTAAGCTGGATATACCTTTACATAGGGTTCACTTCATCAAAGAATATTGGAATGAGGTATTCACAGTGCTACTAAAGGAGTATGAAAGTGGATTAACACCCAATCCAGATATTTTGTGCAATAGATATATAAAATTTGACAGCTTTTTCGAACATTGCAGGAAAAATTTAGAAGTTGATGCTATTGCTACTGGTCATTATGCAAATACGTCATTTGGTCCATTCTTAGAACAATATTCTGAAAATGAAGGTAATTTATATAATAGATTAATTTTACTAAAATCCAATATCTGGCTTTTATCAATGTAGTCAGCCAGTTCAGATATGCATTTTATTTTCCAGATGTGCGGTTATTGCAACCAGCTGATAAACACAAAGATCAGACTTTCTTTTTGTCACAAGTGAAGCAATTTTCTTTGAGACGCTGCATGTTCCCTATAGCAAATCTCATGAAAAGTCAAGTCAGGTACATAGCAAAAAAAGAGGGACTTCTAAACGTAGCTGATAAAAGAGACAGCACTGGAATTTGTTTTATCGGAAAAAAGAGGTTTCAAAATTTCATTGAAGAAGTAAATAAAAAATATAATAATTATTTTTTCTACCTGTCCAGCATTTTAATTTATTTATTTAAATTAAAACAATGTAATAATGCTTTATTATTTCTATTATTGTTTTAGTATATTGAAACCAAAAAGGGATTTTTCATAGACATAGACACTGGACAAATAGTAGGTGAACATGGCGGTCTACACAAATGGACTGTAGGACAGAGATGCTGTCTTGCAAATTGGAAAGATGCATATTTTATCTTCAAAAAGGATTTGCAAACCAACAACATTTTTGTGGTACTGTTAAAATAAATATGACTGTACATTAACTAAAAAATTTAGAAAAATTTGCTAGCATAAAATGCCATACATATAGGTTTTATATTTGTAAATATTATAATTATTCATGTATTTCAGGTTGCAGGCACCAAACATCCAGCTCTGTGGAATAATCTGTGTTTTACAGATAAACCTCATTGGATTCATAGTACTCCTTCTGAATTATTAGATGGTGCTGTTTTGAACTGTTTCTTTAGGTTTCAACATACTAAACCATTAGTTCCTTGTAGAGTGGCAAACAATTCTGATGGCCTCACTATTATTTTAGGACGCAATTTAAGAGCTCTGACAGAAGGACAATATGGTGTTTTTTATAAGGGTAATGAATGTCTTGGTAGTGCTAAAATAAATAGTATATGTCAACATTTAACTTACTAATTGTTGAAAATTATCAGTTGGCTATTTAAGTATAGTAAAATTATTACAATTTGTTTTGTAATGCCCAATAAAATGTGATACTTAGAAAACTGTATTTTTAATTTATTTAATGTAACTTTTAAAATTTTTATACATACTACTAATTTTGATAAACACATACTTGTGATCATATGGTACCGTGACTATTACCTATAGATAATAGTCACGGTACCATATGATCACACTCATGAATGTGATAGAACACCTTTGTCTTCTATATCACTTACTTCGCTTTTAAATTGAAACAAAATAAACAGTAGTGACAAGTTATGCATGAGTGTTGATTTTAGAAAGAATTAAATACAATCCTTACATACATATATATTTGTCACACTTAACCCAATACTATCCTTACCGTAGTACATTGGTTCTCTAAACCTGTGATGTATTATCAGAGTATAAAGAACTACTTTTCCTACAGTCATTTCACGATGGATTAACCCAGGGTAACATTGAGGTGAATCGGACGGAGAGGTACCGAACTAATATATGGTATTTCGGTACCTCTCCGCCCCTGGTAAAGAGCTAATGCATGTATTTTGTACTTTTGAATTGTGATTTAATTTTATTAAATAACTATTTTTTATTATTTTGGTCATCAAATTTAGTTTTTTTTTTTTTATGTGAATTTGTTACATTTTATTTTAGGTAACGTTTTTGATTAATTTGAGTTTGTTGATCTAAAAAAATAATAGTTTTTTTGGATTTTAACAAAAAAGATGATGGATGCCAATATTTTTTGGATAAATATTGGGTAAATTTAGCCAAGCTTTATCAAGTTGTTGTAACATTTATTAAAATCATCAACGAATTTCAATACGAGGAGATTAAAACCAATCTAGCTAAGTTTGGTTTTATCTCCTCCCATTTCAGGAAAATCAACGTTACCAAACGTGGCCATACTTGACTTATTCCAATTTAGTAACACTTGATTAAACTAACCAAACTAAGCCGAGCCTGTTTAAATTTAGCCAATTTGTACCGAAGTTTATTAAAGTAATCAAATTTAACCAAACTAGACTGAAGTTGACAAAACTGACGAAATTTAGTTCAACCTGAACATATTTGATCAAAGTTGCTCAAATTTGATTTGATTGCAAACTTTAAACAGCTTATTTGCCATTCTAAGTTGTATAAAAAAAAAACTTTAAACTTGACTGAACTTGTTTAAACTTGGTTGAACTTAGCCTAAATTAGTTAAATTTGTCAGTTTATTCAAATTTGTTCACGTTTTATTATGTTTGGTCAAGTATTAACCAGTTTTGATAAATCTAAGCAAGATCAGTATTTTTATATATAATTGGTGTGTACAAATGAAGTATTAAGTAAATAAAATAAAAATAAGTCAGTTATTTTTAGTCAACTTCAATCAAATATAATACTTTAACTTGCAACGTGAGCACTTGACCATGATACGTCAAGTTGGACTAAATTTCAATTTAATCAAGTTTGGTAAATTTAAGCTAAATTCTTTTAAATTGAGATTGGTATAGTTTATCAAAGTTTGATAAAAATCTAATTTTGTCAAATTTCGTCAAATTTGCCCATGTTTGAGCAAGTGTCATTTGATTCAGTTTTTTTTTTCACATTGGATTTTTAATTATTAATAAGCAATTAATCGTAAATAAAATATCGTAAATATTTTTATAATCTACAATCCCAAAATATTTCAAAAATCCAAATTGCAAACTAAATGAAATATTTTTATATTTAAAACTTTGCCTACAAAAATTCAAAAATAGTCAACTTCTTAAATTTGCAGTCCTAAATTATTCAAAAACTTTTGATAACTAAAATTCGGTTTACTAAGTCTATGGTTGAGAAAGCAATCTATACATTTGTTAATATGGCAACTTTTAGTTTATTTGATGAATATAGAGCGATGCGAGTCATGGAAAGACTTGTCTGTAATAATGAAAGAAAAAATTTAGTGTGTGTAATGTCTTTTTATATGTTTAAATATAAATGATAAATTAGAATAGTAATTTTAACTGTAAACATTAATTACTCTGCTAAATTACTCCTTAATAATAAAATCGATGTTCATATCAAAAGTGTGAAAACCGAAATACTCATTGAGAATTTCTTCTTTTTGAAGTCGGTTAAAAATAAACGTGACAACCCCTGCGACATACGTGGCACGAGAAAAAATTTGTATGGGCGATAAACCATTGTATTGTTATGCTTTTTTTCTCCCTCTCTACCCTTTGCTATATGTTTTTGTATTTACCGCTATGTCCCACAAATTCTCCCCTTCAAACTGAAAGAGAGCTATGCAAATACGATTGTTTAATGACAGAAATACAATTGGCGCATAAGATCTCAAGCAGACGACTTTTGTACAACAGGGAATACGTTGTACAAAAGTCATGGTAAAAAAATATATATACAGAAGTATAACACCTGGTGGTAAAGTCAGTTATTCATTTCGTAATATGGGATTATACGATAATATCAAATAAAAATTATATTTATGTATAGGTTTGTAAATAATGAAGTTCTAAGATAACAAACATAAAAAAATACAATCGAAATATTTTTAAAGTCGGTTAAAATACACCGGTTCGGATCGGTTAAATATATATACATATACATATATATATATATATATATATATATATATATATATATATATATATATATATATATATATATATATATATATATTTCAGGGGGAGGGGGGTTGTTAATAATGGAGAGGTTAGTCCCCATTGATTTCAATATACGTTATCAGGTCGACCTCCACGCGGTTCCCTCTGGAAACCATCTTGACTAATTTATAATTAAATTCGTCACGATGGGCTAACTGACCTACCTTTTCATCTTCACCAATTATACCTCACTGGTGCCCCGCCAGTACTATACAATACCGATTAAGAGTGAGGCATAATTATCATATCAGATATAAATCACAAGTATTCAAAGACAACAGAAAACAGTTGTTTTTACGATGTCATTAGGTATATCTGTCAAAAATATAATTAAAATTGACCATACTGAAGTTAACCACGATTTTTTTACCTGGGATCTGTCACTTGAAGGTGTTAGTGAATACACGTTTTTTGTTGGAATCTTTATTATTTAGTGTTATATTGTGTTGAGAATCCTTATATTTATTTCATTTTGTCCTGTGTTTGTCCTATTTTCTTAGTGGTGTGTGGTAAGTAGTTTCTTATGTGTATATTCGCTCCACCTCCGTAATTATGGAGGTGAGCGGTAATGAGGATCCTCCCGATATAGGAGGTATACCTATAGAACCTATCGATGATGGCTTGGAGCCCTCTCAATCCCTGGTAGGTAATACAAGGAAAAGACGAGCGTCTTTGGATCTTGACAATAGGGATGGGAAAAAAACTAATCCACCCTCAGAATCAATACAATTTGTTTACACCAGACCAGGTTTTGAGAGTGACTCAAAAGCAAAGTATAATCCCCAGGATGCGGCTCCTTATTCCGTACATGTAACAAGAATAGAACCCGATGTTTCAACTGGATTATCAATAAAACTATTAAGATTTGCGCAGTTCTTACACAAAAATAAAATCACAGGAATCAGGAAGGGGGGTATCAAAGCATTAGGTCGTAATAGGATATCTGTTGAATTTAAAAATCATTTAGAAGCCAACAATTTTGTTGAAAATCCACTCCTTACAGATAATAAATACTCTGCTAGCATCCCAAGATTCCAAATCTCCCGAATGGGGGTTGTTCGTAATATACCTAATGACTGGTCCCTTGAGGAACTGGTCCAAAATATCGATACTCCTCCTAATTGTGGACAAGTGATAAGAGCTAGACGATTAAATGTCAAATCTCATAAACCGGACAACTCAGTCACTTGGATACCCTCATCTTCAGTTGTATTGACTTTTGAAGGGCAGGTTCTTCCAGAAAAAGTTTATTGTTTTGATACCTCTCTCCCGGTTCTGCTATATAGGTTACCTCTTATTCAATGCAGAAATTGCTGTAGGTTTGGCCATATTCGCACTCAGTGTCGATCCAAACCTAGATGTTATTATTGTGGTGCTCAACATGCAGGTGATGCATGCGATAAAAGTAAGGAACAACCACATTGCATACTCTGTGACAGTGATAATCATGCAGCTACAGAGTCGGTGTGTCCCGAACATGCAAGACAAAAAAGTATAAAAATTGTAATGGCTGAAGAAAATATAAGCCACATGGAGGCATCTGTCCGATTTCCTTCTGTAAAGCGGTCATATGCTGATGTAACATCGACTCAACAAAATTTACACCAACCTCAAACCTCTCATCCTCTAAACTATCAATTCTCAGTTACATCATCTCCATCCTCATCACCCAGAAAATCATATCGTGAAACAGTCCTTTTAACTCCCCGACCTCGTCCCCCCATGGGTAAATCGTATGACATATCTGCACATAATAATATTACTCAGACACCCAAATCCTCTCAACCTAATGGTTGTGCTGCTATAGGCCAACAAAAATATGAGGAAACAACTCCTCTCCCTACCCCAAATGACAATCTTGTGGAACTTCTTGTTTGTACCCTCATTAACATTATATCAAAATTTTCAGATGCATTACCGAACAATGTCCAACAATTACTGCAGCTCCTCCTCTCCTCCTTCTTAAAAAATGACCCTAAACCTCCTACAATGGAATACTAGGAGTATCTTAAATAAAAAACATGATCTTATATATTTACTCAATAAATTTAAACCAGTGGCATTTGCCATCTCGGAGACATGGTTAAGACCTGGCACTACATTCAGAGTGCCTGGCTACTCATGCCTCCGGGATGACAGAGCCGACGGATGGGCGGGTTCCGCTCTTCTGGTTACAAAATCTACTACATTCTCCCAAATCCCCATCCCCTCACACAGTCCAGAATTTCAAATAGTAGCAGTCAAAACCTTTGGTATTACCTTAGTCTCTATTTATATCCCTCATCCAAATCAATCCATACTCTCTGAGCTTCAGTCACTCCTATCGACTCTCTGTCCTCCTTTTATTATCATGGGAGATTTTAACTGCCATCACACATTATGGGGCTCACAATCCACTGACACAGTTTCCACATACTTGTTAGATCTACTCGACGACATTGACCTCTGCGTGCTGAATGATGGATCTAGTACCCGTAGAGTATCCCCTCTTCAAAACCCCAGCTGTCCTGATTTAACACTTGCATCCCCTACCCTAGTCACTAAACTTACATGGCAAGTCCTACCTAATTCATATGGTAGTGACCATCTTCCTATCTTAATTACATTCTATAATACTTATTCCAAACCTACGTCTGTCCCCAGTCCACTTCTAAAATATAAAACAGATAAAGCTGATTGGCATAAATTCTCCAGTCTTTTAGAAAATAAATTTTGTTCCCTCCCTGCCATAAGTATAAATAATTTTCATGAAACCTACAATAATTTTGTTACTTTTTTAACATCAGCAGCTAATGATTCGATCCCCCTTAAAAATTCTACTCTTAACAAAATCCCTTCCCCCCTTGGTGGGACTCTGAGTGTACAAATAGTGTCAAGCTGCGAAAAGAGGCTGAAAGAACTTATTTATCAAACTTGACGATGGATAATTACCTCTCCTATCGTAAGATAGCTGCTCGCACAAAGAGACTGCTCTCCAAGAAAAAATCTTCAGGATGGCATAGGTTTTGTGAATCCTTATCTCCAAGAGCCTCTCCCTCTCTTGTATGGAATAAAATCAATTCATTTCGCAATGGAACTATTAATCATAATTTAACATCGAATGATCCCTCGTTATGGGTAGATGCTTTTTTTGATAGGCTTGCTCCACCTTTTGTCCCCTCAGAAGATTCCCTTCCTTATGCAACTCCTCCAACTTCTAGTGGTGACAGAATGGATGAACCATTCTCGTTACCAGAATTGATTTGCGCCATTGATCATCTCCATGACTCCTCTCCAGGAATTGACGGCATCCCATATTCTTTTATATGTAATCTACCCATGTCAGGTAAAAAATACTTTCTGGATATTATTAATTGTGTCTTCTTATCTGGAATAGTATCTGAATCTTGGAAATCCCAAATTATAGTTCCCATCTTAAAACCCCAAAAAGATTTTAACGATCCAAATTCTTACAGACCGATTGCCCTATCTTCGGCCTTGGCAAAAATTCTAGAAATTCTCATTAAACATAGACTTGAATGGATTTTAGAAAGTAAAGGTTTATTATCCAAATTACAATTTGGATTTAGACGTGGCATGGGTACTACAGATAGCCTTAGTGTCCTTATTTCGGAAATACGCCTTGCTTTCTCCTGCAATGAACACCTCATAGGAATTTTCCTTGATATCTCGTCTGCGTATGACAATGTCCAGCTTCCAATACTCAGGCAAAAGCTGCAAAATCTGAGTATTCCTGTGAGACTGACTACTATCATATGTAATCTCTTAATGGCTAGATCGATTTCCTTGCGTGTTAATGGCTCTCTTTTTCCTTCAAGACTGGTCTGGAAAGGTCTCCCACAGGGCTCTGTCCTTAGTCCCCTTTTATATAATATCTATACATCTGACCTTGAATCCTCCGTTACTTGTTTCTGCAAAATCCTACAATATGCGGATGACATTGCTATGTATATCGCCTCAGATTCCTTTTCTGACTCCTCTTCCCGCCTAAATTCCGCGTTATATTACCTCAATCAGTGGCTAGATGATCATGGGCTAACACTTTCTATACCAAAGTGCTCAGCGGTCGTTTTTAGCCGCAAGAGACAAATCCCCGTTATTGAACTCTCTCTAAATAACGAACCTATCTTAGTACAAGATAAAGTAAAATTTTTGGGTGTTATCCTGGACTCAAAATTAACAGGCCTGCATCATTTAAGCTACGTAGTAAATAAATGCGAAAGTAGTATTAATATCTTAAAAGCCCTTTCTGGTGTACGTTGGGGTTCTCATCCATATAGCCAAAAACTCTTATATAATGCTATTATCCGAAGTCACTTTGACTATGGCTCATTTCTGTTAGAACCTTGCAACAAAATTGCTCTAGCTAAATTTGACAGAGTTCAAACTAGGTGCTTACGTATAATTATTGATGCAATGAAGTCATCTCCAGCAAACGCTCTGCAAGTCGAATGTCTAGATCCCCCTCTCCATCTACGTAGACAATATCTCTCAGACCGCTTTTACCTCAATATTGCTCAATATAACTCCCATCCTCTCCTTCCTATCTTAGAGTCTCTCTCAGAACAAATAAACCTATCAAGTTACTGGACCCATAAAGAACCCCCTCCCATCCTTAAGAGCTTTACCAAGTACAAAAACCCGATCTCACTTATTAAAAAAATAGACCGTAACCCTCTTTTCGAATTTGATTATGATTCTCTAATTTATCGTCCTAATGTAATTCTAGATTTTGGATTAGTAAAACATTTACCTTTTGCTAATCAAAAGTTTAACGCTATTGTCGCGGAAACATGGCACGACTGGCTTCTGATGTTTACAGACGCTTCTAAAACTGACAAATCAGATCATGTTGGAGCCGCTGTATGGATTCAAAAATATAACGTTGTCCTCAACTTCAAATGTTCTCCTTCATCCTCAACATTTACTGGTGAATCCATAGCTATTATGGAAGCAGTGTCCTATGTAGAAACACATAAATTAAACAAAACCCTCATTCTTTCGGACTCCCTAAGCTGTTTACAAGATATTTTAAAACTACCTTTTAAATCCAAAGAAAACTTTTACATAACTTTGCAAACTAAACAAATTTTACATAGGTGCTACAAGTCCGGTATTAATGTTACCCTTGCGTGGATTCCTAGTCATTCAGGAATTATTGGGAATGAAACAGCAGACTCTTGGGCCAAAAATGCTATCCAACATGGTAATAATTACAATTTTTATTTCACTCGAGATCTACGTTGTCAGGCTAAACCACACATGTTAGAGGCTTGGGATAACTTGTGGCAAAAAACTAGACAATCTAAAGGCAAGTATTATGGTAATATCCAGCCCTTCATCCCTATAAAACCATGGTTTGCTACTCAACGAAACTTAGATAAGTGGGTTACATCAGTTATATGCCGCCTACGTTTGGGACATGTCTGCACACCCGTATTTTTATACAAAATCCGAATCCAAGATCACTCTCTGTGCGAATGTGGCTTAGCGGAAGGAACATTAGAGCACCTATTTTTTGAATGCCCCAAATTGACACTTCCCCTCTATGACCTGTTGCCTCGTACCTTTCCACGTCCTGTAAATATTCCATTCCTTCTTACCTTAGTCCACTCTCCTTTGGTTAAGGTACTGGCCAAATTTATATGTACTAATAATATAAAAATTTAAAATATAAGTATATGTCACTCTTTACACTTCTCGTCTTTTCATTCCTTCCGCGTATTGTCTTTGCTATAATACACTCATACACACATATCATATTAAATTTATTTTTCCTTTGCATGTATATAACATATTTTGTGTTGTCCTCCTTTCCAGAGAACTCAACTGAACGATTTATCTTCATTACTGAAAAATGTCATAATATAAAATACACGGAGTCTTCTCTAACCCTGACATTGGCAGAAAATCACCGTTGCTTCTACGGTGGAAGCCATATTTTAAAAAAGAAGAAGAAGAAGAAGAAGAAGTTAACCACTATCAACAATCAACATTTTCAGTATTCGATAACAGCCGGTCAGTAACATAGCTTGAAATAACAGAACAGCCTATAAAAAAATTAAACAACTATTCTTGTCTTTATCTTTTGTATAATATTATCATAAGCTAAAGTGAGACATACCTAGTAATTATTTGAAATAAAACAAAATTATAGTAAGTCGTTTTATAAGAAGAAATCCTCTTTGAAAAGCGAATTTTTAATTAAAACGTTTTATCTGTTATTTCGTTGATTAATCTAGCTCGCTCACACCCATTTGATATATTGTTACCAAAACGAAATGCACCTAGTATTATATTTAAACTCATATTTGTATGTTATTTCCTTCCTAATGGGCCGTGGTTGAAAAAGATAATATTTATTATTTAATAACAGGTATTGGTACCTGTTATTATTATGTAACAGTAACAGCAACAATAGATATTATGTTTGACCTGTTATAACTCATGTCTAATACCGAAAGCGCAGACGAGTTACCATACTATTTTTTTTTGAAGGGTGAAAATGATATGGTAACCCGCCTGCGCTAACGGGATACGCTGGCGGAGCACCAGTGAAGGATGATAGATGAGAATAAAAACAGGCCAATTAGCCGATCGTGATGAATTCATCAGGAATTACCCATGATAGTTTCCAGGGAGAACCGCGAGGAGGTCGACCTGGTTGGGTATATTGCTAGCAATGGGATTCTCAGTCTCCATTACTAACAATCCCTTTCCCCCCATTTACCATACCATTATCACCCATTAAAAAAGTGTAATCATATTTTCTTCTCTTTTTGTGATTGCATTGCCAGTCTGTTAGGATGTAGTACGGTATGCTAAGTCTATGGTTTGTACTATATAGAAATCATGATAGGTATAGGAAATTCTTAAATTTTTTCTATTCACCCCGTGAATTTTACTAACCCCATTCCACGGAACGTCACGTTGACACTTCATCGTCAGTCATCTGTCAACTAGGTATTGCTTCAAGTTAAATTTTAAAGCTACTTACCTATAATAAAAATCTTTCTTTAAATTTTATTATATTACCATCATAATTTACGGTCTGTGTTTGAAATCCTCTAAAGGACACTGAGTGCCACGTAAAAATTAAAGAAAATTTTCATAAAACATTTCACCGTCTTTAAGTGTTGTGATCATAATATTATGAGTTGATTAGAGAATAATGATAAATATTCTGCTCAATAATGACTAATTTAAGGTAACTAATTAATAAAGATTCATATGGGAATAAGAATTTAGAGGAAAATGTCGGTACCACCGATAAACTACAATATACCTCCACCAAGACTTGATCACCCCCCGCCAGTTCCCTCTCCTGCTGTACCACCCTCTCAGTTATATAGTCATCCTCCGCCTTTCCCTATACCTACTGTTCCAGCTGTTGATCAGCTACCACCTTACGTACTGCCACCTTTAAATGTCCCCCCGCCGTCACTATACTCTTCCGATATATTAAAACAGCCTCCACCAGTCTCGGCTTATCCACCTCCTGCAATTCCTTCAGATTATCCTTATCAAGGGCATTCCATAGAAACCTCTTTCAAAAGTCAACCTGAACCTAATTTACAAGTAACAAGTTCATACAAACAATCAAGTCTACATATTGAAGTAAATAAAAATCTTTCACCAAATGTTTCTGATCGAATATATCATGAACATTCAAGTGACAGAAGATCAAGTTCTAAAAGTTCCTCGGATAGATACCACAGATTGGATATGGATTATCCATCATCATTTAAACATAGATATTCACCTCATAGAGAAAGAAGCTATGACAGATCGAGAGAAAGATATAGGGAATATAGGCATAGAGAATATAGATTGAGTCGAAGTCCTAGTTATTCAAGGCGTCACCGCAGTAGAAGTCCTTCAAGTCACAGCTACAGAGACAGTAGAGAAAGATATTATTCAAAATATGACCATCATAGAAGATATGAATATGAAAGGAGACGAAGTCCTCACTATAGAGACTACAGAAGTCATAGTCGAAGCTATGATTCTCATTATGACAGAAGATGTAGGTCACCTAGTAGACTTAGTTATTGTTCTTCAAGCAGAGATTCCCATCACCGTAGCCGCGCTAGAGACTTGTCTCCACATTCTAGACATGAATCTGCTCCTCGTAAGCCTTTGACTGATCGTGAAAAGATTCTAGAGGAATTTAGGTATGCATGCTTTTTTATGTTTTATTATCAAAATTACTACTTAAAGACTTTACTTATTTTGGTTTCCCTTCAAAACACATAAATCTTTTGCCTTTTACTACTTAAAAAAATAAGAGAATTTCAATTTCACTGTTCATAAAGAAGTTATTTGTTTTTGCATGATTTTGTTGTTGAATTTTTTAATTATAATGGTTTTTTTTTAATAATATTTACCCTTATCTTCTATGTTCTAGAAAAAATTACTGTAAGACTTCTGAGGACTTTATTGAAAGGATGGAACAGTGGTCTAAAGAGCATAATTCTGATGAAGAAGAAGTAAGTGTGTATTTGTATATCTAAAGCTATTATTAATACTTCTTTTTAGCAATAATATAACATTACTTATATGTATAATAAATTATCATTATTAAGATAATAAGCGATATCTGGCTGGTTGATACAACAATTACAATAGGCAACAACAACAACAAACAAAACATCATTTTAACAATTTTATTTACAGAATTCAAAAATGTGGTACAGAAGCTCTCCTGCAGAGTTATATTACAAGGCATTTGAAAGTGGAGTACAACAGACAAATAAATTGGAGAAGTTGTGTGATACATTCTTTAAAACTCTTATTGAAAGAGGTCGTAATGCTAGACCAGAAGTAGATGAACTACCACCTCTCAAACCACCAAAAGCTAAAATGTGTAATAAGCATACATGTGAGTTGATTGATTCTTTACTTATTTAATAATGCACAATATCCCAAATGAGAGGCCAAGCACGGAAAATAGTCCTATTTAGATTTACTTATTTTCTACATTTATAGATATCCTATGACAGTTTTTATCTTACACATTCAATTTTCATCTTAATTTGTATAGAAATATATATATATATATATATATATATATATATCTATATATATATCTATATCTATATATATATATATATATATATATATATATATATAGATAGATATATATATATATATATATATATATATATATATATATATATATATATATATATATATATATATATATATATATATATATATATATATCTATCTATCTATATATATATATATATATATATATATATATATATATATATATATATATATATATATATCTGACAGATCTATATATATATATATATATATATATATATATATATATATATATATATATATATATATATATATTATATACATATATGAATAATAAACATGTGAAGTTTATTGCACATATATATACAGCAATATATTGAAGAAATTGTAAGTTATAGACAAGATTAACCCTCCTTTACTTATTGAACCTATTATTGGGATTGATATTGATATATTATGCTTCACTAAGTATGAATTGATACATCATAAAAACTAAAAAAAAGTATTTTGATAATCTCCATGTTACACACTTAAAAAATAATTTTTCTTTTTATAATTATGTTATTTTAATTATTATGGAAATGTAAGAATATAAATGTCTACAAATTATTATGAATGTCTATCTATGTCTGTTGTGATTTATGTGCTGTAAGAAATGCAATAAAATTGTAATGAAATATTAAAATGTTATTATTTTGCTTGCATGTTTTGTAGTGGAAGAGAGAAGTTCATCATCATGTGAAAGTGATGATTGTTTAGATGAAGATGGTTTACAAGGATACACAGACAGGATAATGTTGGAATTACAAAGAAAACAAAGCCACCCAAGACGACTTCATCCAGAGATGTGGTAAGCTTTATTATTTATTTATTTAACACTTTATTGCACCAACATAACAGGATTTGTAGAAAAATTTTCAATATGTATAGTGTAGTTATAATATTATGGTAAGCTTTAGTACTAGTTGTGTCCTATGGCTGTATATGTGTAAATATTGAACATAGCCAAGTTACTAATAAGGAGTGAAGGAGCTGATGAATCAAAGGGCTTGACTAAAGGGCTTGATGCTGTATACAATGTTATGAGGGTGTTGGAGCCATTCATACCTCGTCATGTAGGAATACTAATACATAATTGAGATTTAAAAATAATAATGCTTGAAGTTTTATTAAACTCTTAGCGTCATTTGAATGTGTAATAATTTATATATTTTTACAAAGGTTCAACAACACGGGCCAGATGAATGGTGGTCCGCTTTGCCGTTGCAGCGCGAGGGCTCGCCGTCACGGCATGCGCCACGGAGTATACGCTGGCGAGCAATCCTTCCCCAAGTGTATACCCACACATAGCAACATTAATAAACTCTACCATTACCGGTGAGTCTCATCTGATATGTAAAAAATAATTGACATATGGCCCTAGAATGAAAACAAGTGAAACATCATATCACCATATCAGGATTACATACGTACATTAGAGGTGACCAGGGAAACAAAACCCAACATACAAATAATAACTCTAACTAAAACTGTATACCAAGCCACTTAGCTAACATGGAAACAAAAAGCTTATTTATTTAAACTAATACATAGTGTGAATATATGTATGTTTATTTGGCGGACTTAACACCAAATGATGTTCTCTACCAGTCAACCATTGGATAAACAGAGAAAAAAGTAGGTGATGCATTGAAGAATTAAGGAAACATACTTTATATATTTTACATGTTTATACATTATAAAGATTTACGTAGACTAATATAAACATATACTATATTAAATAATTAACTGTATTAGAGAAGCAAAGAAAACAATCTATGAATATATCTATTATATATTTTTATAACACCCATTTTACGTACTTACAACGATATATGAGATAACGTTATGACAAATTGAAATCTGTTTAATTTGCTTCTTTTTGTATGACCTAAGTTTTAATTATCAAATATCTTAATACCTTAAAATTTTCTAGTTTCTTAACTAATTACATTATAAACACAATAACACTATTTTTGTTTAATTCCAGTATTACTGTATCTCCACCAACGAATTTCCTTATAAAGGCACCAACAATTATAGGTCACGATGAACATGAATTTCTTTTCTCTGGATTTTCAATGTTCTCTCACTACAAGCTGGCTAAACTCCCCACGTGTAAAGTAATAAGGTTCAATATTGAATACACAATACTTTATGTTGAAGAACCAGCACCACAAAACTTCACCATCCGAGAGTTAGATTTATTTGGTAAGCCCTACCTAGATTCTATAATATGAACTTATGAATGGTCATAAATAATATAATATGTGGTAAAATAGTTTTTAATAATGTTTTCGACGAAATTTAAATTGTTATGGAATAAATGAATGAATGATGGATTCGTTATCGCAAGTGGGTCCACAAGTTGGAATGCAGAACCTTAGACATATTTTTTTTTTCTATCCCATGGACATGCTAACGATGACAATTTCATCGATGAATTCGTTTGCCATTTGTTTTAGAGGTTTTGTCCCTTAAATAAAGCACATTGTATATTCTTACACATTCATTTGCCCATGGCTACTAGCTGCGCTCTTGATCTTGGGGTAAGCACAAGACAATTCTGGAATGGGCATGACCCAAACTTTTTAAATATGCCTATGATTATATATGATATTAAATAAATGCATCACCTGTGTCACAATGATGTTAAATAAATTAAAATAATGAATTTTATCAGTGATTATTACGATTATGAAAAGGTTTTTGATTAATTACATCTGACTTTCAATATCGGTACCATTTATAATGTGCTTGTGGTTTGGCAAAATGATGCTTATGTCATAAAATGAATAAAAGAAACTAGTGGAATAGTACAAACAGTTGGATTTATAAATTATATACTATATAATTGTTTCATATACTATTTTTTTTTATCTTTCAGAGGAATACCTCTTTACTGAACTTTTAGAATTAGTTGATTTGGACCTTGGAAAAGCTACCGACGTATCCTGTTCACAATTCCACTTTATGCCTCGGTTTGTTCGATATCTACCGGAAGGAGGTTGCGAGGTATAGTACATATTGGTTTATGTTATTATAGGTTTGCAAATATTAAATAAAGCAAACAATTCATATCAATAGGTACCTACTATATTTATTTTATGGATGATAATGGACAGCCTGCGCTGTCGGTATACCCTGGCGGTACACCTGTGATAGATGATAGGTTAGGATGAAAGCAGGTCAGTTAGCTAGTGACAAATTCCACAAAAATTAATCCTGATGGTTTTCATGGGAGAACTGTGTGGAGGTCGACCTGATATGATGTATTGCTAACAACGAGGTAGTTAGACCCCATTACTAACAACCCCTTCCCCCTCTACGTACTACGTTTTTTTTATGGGTCAAAATGGTATGGTAACTCTGCCTGCGCTAACGGTATACGCTGGCGGAGCACCAGTGAAGGGTGATAGATGAGAATGAAAACAGGACAGTTAGCCCATCATGATGAATTCATCAGGAATTAACCATGATAGTTTTCAGGGAGAACTTCGAGGAGGTCGACCTGGTTGGATATATTGCTAGCAATGGGATTCTCCATTACTAACAATCCCTTTCCCCCCCCCCCCACGTACTATCTTAGGTATATTAAATAACACTTTAAATCCATTTAAAAAGTTGCATATGTGAGAGTCATTAAACTTTGTTAATAAGAGAATTGAAAATAAGAAGGAAAAAATTCCATTTCTGTAACCTGCATCAGAAATTCACGCATATACAATTCCATGACAATTAAAGGTATCTTTATAGTCATTTAAATTAAAATTAAAAAACATATCCAGTTAGAAGTTACTATAAAAACCTGTAATGAAAAAATTACTGTTCATAAATGCTTAAATCTTATGTTTACTTGAATAAAAATATTTCTTTATTTCTTACTTTCTTTCTATAAATATTATTTTTTTCTAGGTACTATCTATGTGTGAAGTTTTGAAATATCTCATAGACGAAAGTGGACTGTTGATACCGCCAGAAACTTTAGAAGACGTCCACAATATGGATCACTACACTTGGCAGAAATTTGTTGATAGAATTAAAGGTAAAATAATGTTATAATACGCACATAAATATAAATGATTTTATAATTTATAGTTGTTGATTTTACAGTAAATTTATGGTGTCATAGGACAGAAATGTTATAAGCAATTGTATGAAGAAGCTGTTATGTACCGTGTACATATATGGTAAATTATAAAAGTGCCTAACAAGCTTACTTTATTACTTCAGCCGTTAACTGTCCACTGCTGGACATAAGCCTTCCCCATAAGAGGAGTTTTGCCAGTAGTTTCCACACTTAGCAGGCGGGTTGTCATCCGCAGTTAGGCTTTAAGGGATGTTTTAAGAGGGACACTGCTGCCCATCCCTCGCCCTCCCTTAGTCGCCTCTTACGACACCCGTGGAAAGGAAGGGGTGGCCCATTCTGTACCGGGGCATACACACAATAGGCTAACTTAGTCATACATAACTTTTAAATAAAACTTATTTATATATAAGGTATAAACTAACAAATTGTAAGTAATAAAGGCAAGACTTTGGCAAACGTGCAGTGCGGTGAAATTGAGAAGCAGCGAAATATAGCGTGGCAGACTTAAAAAAAGATGGCAAATTATTATTTCTCGCTGGCGCGGTTAAATTGCTCGTTTGACATGTGTATTGATATGGTGGTACATATTTACTTTCCCTAACTCCGCTTAGTGTAAAACTAAACACCACTATGTCTAGTGGTATTTATTTATTATTGTACATTTCAGGAATGATAGTTACATATCCAGGCAAAAAACCTTGTTCCATTCGCGTGGATCAGTTAGACCGAAGCCCGCCAATTAGTACCAAAGATGTCAAAAATCCTAAGGAATTAAAGTCATTCTATCCTGAAATTGTGCATTTCGGTATAAGGCCTCCGCAGCTGAGTTATGCTGGAAACCCAGAGTAAGTTTTATTATTATTATCTAAACTATTGTCTAATAAGTCTTCAATAACTTAACATGTTTTATTTCCTGATATCTACTACCAGTACCGGCCTTTCTGGTCGGGTAGAGTACCTGGCGTTGTAGAATCAATAAATTTATTTGGTGTCTGGTATACATTATTAAACCATTTCCGCTTTATAGTTTTTATAATTAATGATAAATAATAATAAATTCAATCAACATTCTATTAATAATAATTATTAATTATATTATTACATATTATAATATGCTTCAGTTTAGGTACAATTATACTGTGATATATGTATTCGTACTTTCAACTTATTTCCAGGTGTCAATATAAAAAAATTAATATTAATTTATTGCTTCTCTTGTAGATACCAGAAAGCATGGCGGTACTACGTAAAGTACCGTCATTTGATTGCCAATATGGCCAAACCATCGTTTAAGGAGAAACAGAAATTGGCAGCTAAGGAGGCCAAACTTCAAGAAATGAGGACTCAGAGTAAGATGAAGAGAGATGTTACAGTTGCTATATCATCTGAGGGATTTCATACTACTGGTCTCATGTGTGATGTTGTGCAAGTAAGTTATATTATTGTTACATAGAAACAAACTTATTAATATATATGTTCTTTATTGCACTTGAACACAAGATACAGTGATTAACAACTTGTTAGCAAGGGTGGGCTTATGTTTAAAAAAGATCTCTTTCTTCCAGCCAACTCAATGTAGATAGAGAGAAAATAATTAGCATAATATTTAAATTATTTTAATCAAAATTAAATTAATTAATTAAATCTTGTACTTTTTTACAAAAAAGGTATTATAATATATACTGGACTGGTTTTGCCGTTTACAGCATTCCAAGATTAATTTTAAACTAGTGTTTTCTCATGGAATTATTTCCAACCTCTTTTTCAAACCCTAAAGGTTTGAAAAAATAATGCCATTATTATTATATCTAATGTCATGTTTTGTCTTCTCCCACATCATTTTCTATACCACATTGTATATTTGTTTCGTTAACCTTATATTCAACACTTTCATACACTTCTATTTTTGGGTTTTTTATTTCTGGATCCATTAACATTTCTAAATCAATGGTGCGTTCCATGCATTAATTACATTAATTAATTGTTTATGTACTACAGTTTTAATACTTGAAATATAGAAATGTAGTACATTAATTCATTAATGCACTAAATTTCTATTTTTCAATAGGTTGACTGGAAGAAGATGCTATATAGAACTAAGTCCGCTTTTTGAACTAAAAATTTTTTTTAAGTGCTCAGGAAAGAGTAAATAATTATTTAATATCTCATTCATCATCTTTTTATTCGTCTCTGTATATCTTTGTATTGCTTCAATAGTGTCCGACAATTAAACATTTTCAATGAAATCCTTTATTTCAGCATGCAATGTTAATCCCAGTATTAGTGCGTCACCTTCGCTTCCACAAATCACTGGACAGTTTGGAAAAAAAGATAGGTTATGTTTTCGAACAACGGCTACTGCTGCAGACGGCGCTAACTCATCCCTCCTATAGAGAGAACTTTGGTACAAATCCGGATCACGCGAGAAACAGTCTCACCAATTGTGGCATACGACAGCCAGAGTACGGCGATAGGAAGATTCACTATACTAGGAAGAAAGGTTTGCTTACTATTACTAGTCTTTATTGTATATAAACTTTCGTTTATAATTTTACTATACTTTAAAAAAATAAATTATTTTACTTTTTTGTCCATTTTATCTCTAAATGACTTGAAATTCAATAAAAATTTTTGCTATATCTGTTTACTATTTATGTCAAGTATAGGAAAATAAAGTAGTCGGTTAAGTCGGAAGTCAAAATTAACTAATAGTGAATTTTACTTCTTTTTAGATGTATTTGATAATGACATGATAAAAGTAATTCTTTTGATCTGCAGGCATCGTTACATTAATAAACATAATGTCTCGATTCGGAAAACATAATGAAACTGAGTCGGAAATAAAGCACAACGAACGTTTAGAATTCCTCGGTGACGCCGTAGTAGAGTTTCTCTCGTCTATACATCTGTTTCGAATGTTCCCTGGCCTCACCGAAGGCGGATTGGCAACGTATCGGGCGTCTATTGTTCAGAATCAACATTTGGCACAACTTGCTAAGGTAATAAATTATATATATATATATATATATATATATATATATATATATATATATATATATATATATATATATATATATATATATATATATATATATATTCATATTATTATATGTATCATATCTCCATATTTAGAACTAACAGAATTTTTCATCGTGCCTCCCATCGAATTGTTTAACTCCTCTCCATTCAAAGGTTGCCTGAAAGAGATCGCTTTTAGCGATAAGGTCGCCCATTATTTTCTCATTGTGGTTATTTCTTGTAATTATTTATATTTATAATAGATTTACTATTGTAATCTTTTGGAGGAAACAATAAAGAGTATCTATCTATCTATGTCTAGTGATCCGTCTTGGCTTCACACAGCTATCTATAATTTTGTTGAAAATATAGCCCTTGTTACTCGCTGATAATGTAGCTTTCTATAAGTGATTTTTTTTAAATCTTTTACTTTTGAGTATATTCATTATAAACAAAAATTTGTTGTATAATAATAGTATTCCAAACATATTACAGTAATATACGCGGGTTAATTTGCCATCTCCCTTTCACGAATGGGGAGATGTGAATTTTGTATAAGAAATAATATTTTTTTATTCTATTTTTAAACTTTTACAAACTTGTGAAAATACATACATAATGTATTGAAACAACTTGCTGAGTAAATACTGTTTATTTATATCGATAGTAATAATACAGAAACCAAATCTTACACTACCCACATAATTATACTACACATAATATGTATGTATTATTTACAGAACATATCCCTGGAACAGTTCATGCTGTACGCACACGGTTCCGACCTGTGCCGTGAAGTGGTGATGCGCCACGCGATGGCCAACTGTTTCGAAGCGCTCATGGGGGCGTTATTCCTCGACGCTGGCTTAGAGGTACTGACGCATGACGTCACTTCTTGAGATTAAAACTAGCTACCGGTAACTGTAGTGGTAAAGCATAATAATTAAATGAAATAAAACACCACTGTATGGTAGATTGGTGCAATTTGCAAGTTATTTTCAATCTGACTGTATTTTGTGTGTATGAGTATGCTACCTGATACATTCGCTATCCTATTGTGATCTAATTTTAAATAATCTTTTATAATTTAAAGATTTTACGTCTATGAACAAACGAGGTGTAGGACGACCCCCCACTAGAGGGGGGAAAGGGATTGTTAGTAATGGAGACTGAGAATCCCATTGCTAACAATATACCCAACCAGGTCGACCTCCTCGCGGTTCTCCCTGGAAACTATCATGGTTAATTCCTGATGAATTCATCATGATTTGCTAACTGACCTGTTTTCATTCTCATCTATCACCCCTCACTGGTGCTCCGCCAGCGTATCCCGTTAGCGCAGGCGGGGTTACCATACCATTTTCACCCATCAAAAAAAGACCCCCCCACTAGATGGAGTAACGACCTCAAATGCATTGCATCCCTAAGCAAACTGTATCAGTGGATACAGGTGGCTCAGGACCGTTCTTTACAGCAGTCTACTGGAGAGGCCTATGTCCAGCAGTGGACGGATAATGCCTGAGATGATGATGATGATGATGATGACGTCTATTTTGTTCGCATACTAGTTTGATTGACTGTTTGTATTATCTTTCATTATTCTTTAAACAGAAAACGATAGTCAATTATTTACGAGATAATTTGCAGGTAGCGGATCGAGTATTTGCTTTGGCTCTTTGGTACAGTGAGCCCGATTTATTGGAAGTGTGGACGAAAGAGCGCGCCCACCCATTACAGGAACAAGAACCGCTCGGCGATAGGAAATACATAAAAGATTTCGAGTTCTTGCAAAGGTTGACAGAATTTGAAGAGTCTATCGGTAAGTACATTTTAATACATGCTGCGTCCAACAGGGTCCGTAAAGCTTACTATAATAATATTATATAAATAGACTCTTATTGAACATTATGGAATGCAAATAAATATTAATTGCTTATGAATAAAATATTTTTTAGAAGTCTAGTTCGTTTAATTATTGTTATGATTCATATTTTAAAATGTTCGAGAAGTCGTGAATGCAGAATTTATTATTTTGGATTTACTCCACAGTATTAATATTCTTTTTTATATTATTATTTTGTTATTTTTTTTTTATACTGCTACTAATGTAAGAAACTCTATCTAGTGAGTTTCCAATCATACATTATTTCATACATACATTTTGTTATACATGAAGGCTTCTGATATGGCCTATGGGATGTAAGCTTTATGTACCTCCGAAACACGAAGCTCCGAAACGACAATTATGTTTACATAATCTAAATATGATTTCAAAAATTCAGAAGTTAATCGTCTATCGAACGAGGATCGAATTCCAGTCTTTAGACTAAAAAAAAAAATTAAATAATAATCCTACAATTCTAAGATTTATTAATGACACCATAGCGCATAATATCTTTACTAATATATAAAGTAAAAGACTGTTTGTGACTGGTAGTTAAAAAAATGCGATAATTTTTGCAACTACCAGTCGGTTTTGAAAATTCTCTTCTGCATTTTATAGCTCATTTTTGAGAATGATTACATGTTATACAACATCACGATAGAACCACGGGCGAAGTTGTGGGATACAGCTAGTCATAAAACAATTTTGTTCAGTTTTATGTCTTTATATTTCAGGTGTAGTATTCAAACACATTCGTTTACTGGCCCGAGCGTTCACCGACCGCTCAGTTGGATTCACCCATTTGACGCTGGGCTCCAATCAGCGTCTAGAGTTCCTAGGCGATACAGTGCTGCAGCTTGTTGTCTCTGATCGGTTGTATAGATACTTCCCTGATCACCACGAGGGACATCTTTCGGTGAGTTTATTATTTATGTGTATGGATGGTGAATTTATGTATATGGTCCTAATTGCCCCATCAATCAGTAATTTATAACTATTATTATTATTGATTTAAAAAAAAATTAATAACTTTAGTTTACCGTTGAAATGGTTTCATTTAGTATTTAAAATTTTACGATTTGTAAATAGGTATGTAAGCAAATAATAGATTACGCATTCAGTTATTAAGAAAGTTTGTCAAAATTAGTTGTGTATGTATTGGATAAAAATTATATAGCAGTGTTTATATTTTGTTAATGAATTAAAAAAAGCTTATATGTTGGTAAATTATGTATTCAAGAGAAGAGTGAACAGTGAAATTATTTTGATACTGAAATGGATAAATCCAATAATAGTTATTAATGTCACATTACCTAACTTTTACACTAATAGAGCTAGTAATCTTACAAATATTATTAATGTTAAAGTTTGTAAAGATGTTTGTATGTTTGTTGTTCAATCCCGCTTCAATAGCTGAACGGATTTGCATTAAATTTCGTACATGGGCAGGTTATATTCGGACTTAATCAGCATAGGGCACTTTATATATTGATTCATGCATGGTAAGACGCAGGAAACTTAATTTTATAAATATGTTTGTACTCGGCAGTTGCTCCGCTCGTCGTTGGTGAACAAGCGCACGCAAGCGATGGTGTGCGATGACCTTAACATGTCCGCATACGCTATATACAACAACCCTAAAGCAAAGCCGACCACTAAGAAACATAAAGCCGATTTGCTCGAGGCATTTTTGGGCGCTTTATTCATTGATAAAGTGAGTATAGTACAATGATTGTTTATTGATTGATGTATTTTTTGTTTTGACGTTCTTCTAATATTGGGGTCCATTGTAAGGTACCATTAAATGTTATAAATTTAGTTTAGGATGGTTTATAAAACTGTAATTTCGGGAAATCATCAAATCAAAAAAGTAGGTTAAGAGAATATCCCAGAATCGGTCCCATTGTTCTTTTAAATTAGAACTATTTAATTTTTACAAAGGATTAAAAAAACTTCTAAGTAGTTTTTGAATGAAATGGTGAATTTACCAGAGGGAGACTTTGTACAAAAGTCGATTGCTTGGGTACTTCTGTCTCATTCGTGTTTCTACCGTGAAGCAGTTGTGTTGGCATGGCTGTGTTTCGGTTTGAAGGGTGGGATATGGTGTGAATTTACAGGGTACAGAGGAATAACATCTGAGTCCTCAGGAATGGCAACGTATGGGGGGTATCATGGGCGAAACAGTATATTCTGTTATGTCCATGATACTGCTCATGTCTATAGGCGACGGTTATCACTTTCCATAAGCTGGACCATCAGCTTGTTTGCCATTCTAAGTTGTATAAAAAAAAGAATGATATAGTGTAAATAGGAAATAACAGGATTATAACAGGATACTCTTAATTTATTACCATCTGGTAATAAATTAAGTATCTCAAGTAATTAATCTTATTAGCATACTAATAATTGATCTTTCTGTGTGTATGATACCACTCATACATTGCAATTCCTAAAAACTAAGATATTATTTGTTCGTATCTTGTTATTTTGCTACAATGCTCCCTTGAAACTAAAACAATCATACGAGCACTGAGATTCGGTAACAGGGACACCAATGGGACACAGATATCCCTTTATAATAAATAGAGTCCGTGTTATTTATTATGAAAATATTTAGGAAAAATAAGATTACGAATTGTTCAAAAGAAAAATAGGCAGAATTTTTATTTACATATAGAATGACATCTATTGTAAGTATAACTAGCCAGTAACAGAAAGGTAACCATAGTTTCATCTACATAGGTTGATATGCTACAAAGTTTAACATACCCAAGTACACAACTTTTGTACACAATGTTTTTGTGTTATATTAAGTCAACTGATGATATGTTTATACTCGTATTTATTAACATTTCAATTTTCAGAACTTGGAGTATTGCCAAGCATTTTGTAACGCATGCCTGTTCCCGCGGCTGCAGGAGTTCATCATGAACCAGGCGTGGAATGACCCCAAGTCCAAACTGCAGCAGTGCTGCCTCACGCTGCGCTCTATGGAGGGCGGCGAGCCAGATATACCCTTATACAAGTAAACATAATGTTTAATCTTATTATTTATTCATTAGAATACAGTTTAACTACATTCATTTTATATTATTATTACGTCAATTATATATATTTACAAGGTGATGTTGAGTACATTTGTGATAAAATTTTTCGTTGCTAACTAATAGTAAATTCAACTTATCTTTGCTATTTAGCAACAGTTATTTGCCAGTTCTTATCAGCTGAAACTGCATTCCGAACTGGGCGGTAAATTTAAATTACTTTTCAAAAATGACTACAACTAAGTTTACTTGAATATATACACATTTTTGTTTTATTATTTTCCTTTATTTATTTGTATTGTGGAAGCCTTTATATTTATTTATTTGTATTGAGGAAGAATTTAATTAATAAAATAACAAATTTGTGGTCAGAGTCATCAAGTGCTTGGGTCCGACGAACACGCGCGTGTACGAGGTGGGCGTGTACTTCCGCGGCACGCGGCTGGCCTCCGCCTGCGGTCACTCCATACAGGAGGCCGAGATGAATGCGGCCGAGCACGCGCTCGCCGCCGCGCATGGTATGTATATTATACTTCTACAGCCAACATAAAAGAAGAGATTTATTTTATTTATTTACACTTTATTGCACCAAGTAAAAAGAGAAATAACAGATACAGTAAATATTAATGAGACGTGATACAAAAGGCGGCCTTATCGCTAAGCAATCTCTTCCAACAACCTTTGGGTAGAGGACATTGAGAAAAAAACAAATGGTAGGTGGCGCACTATTATATATTCTCCGTTCAGTTATATTTTTTTATGTTTGTAACTCCGTTATTTATAAACCAGTTTGGAAAATTCTTTTTTTTTTTGTCTGAAAGGATATATTGTTACATTAGTTCTATAGAAATTTCATCATAATCTGTTTAGTAGTTGCGTTTTTAATTTTTTTTGTATTCATCTTAGAATGGTATACAAGCTGACGGCTTATCTGATTGAAAGTGGTAACCATCGCCTATTGACATGAGCAGTACCATGGAAATAACAGAATATACTTTTTCGCCTATGATTTCTCCCCATGCGTTGCCATTCATGAAGGCTAAGATGTTATGCCTCTGTACCCTGTAAATTCACTGCCACATTCTACCCTTCAAACCGAATGAAAATACAGCCATGCAAACACAACTGCTTCACGGTAGAAACACGAATACGAGAGAGAAAACGACTTTTGTACAAAGTCTCTAAGTCAGTGGTTTATTTTTTTTAAACACGGAACAAAATTTAATTTTTTAACTTGTTATTGTAAATATTTTACATATATTAACTTTTAGACTTTCACATTGCATAGTCTATGGTTTATAAGAGACGAGAATTAAAAACGTTTATTTAGGTAAACTATGGTAATTTACCTGGGTTATCTCGGCGTTGCACCTGGTCGTAGCCACCAATACTTGTGGCCACGTCAGTGTAGTAACCTTATTTTACATCTCTTATAAACTACCTTTTACATACTTTAAGCTTTTAATTTTAATATACACATTTTATATCTTCAATATTATATCTTTGGTTGTACATTCTTGTTTCATTTTCGAATATTTGACTCCTCAATCGTAGCTAATCCTTGAGAATGGGATCTATTACAGCTAGAGATCTCTTTATGTGATAAGTCTGCTATTGTATGTTAAATCTTTGTCATGTGTCCAATTAAACTTAAAGCATGTACAATAAAAATATTACAACGACGAGAGAAAGAGAGAAAATGTAATTTATTTACACATTTGGATAAAAATAACAGTACCATATATACAAACAACTGGTATGAGTACAGCAAAGCAGTGTTATAGCTAAATGCTAATTTTTGTTTGTTTGTCATTAAGCATAACGTGAAATAATTACCTAACTTAATGGGTTTCAATATTTTATTAATTAAATAACTTTATTAACTAAATATGAGTATGATAGAAAAGGTGACCTTAATGTTGAAGGTATCTGTTACCAGTTAACCTTTAAGGTGACCAAAGAATCACAAACTTAATTATTAAAATATTTTACAGAGCTATTCCCCCAACTGGATCACCAAAAGAGAGTCATCGCAAAGAGCATGAAGAAAAAGAGTCGCCACGGAGACGGTCACGAGAGTCCATCGGAGAGCAGCCATTCTAGGCATTTCGAAAACAGGGTGCCTAAAGCTTACAGACTCAACAAGGACTCGGAAAGCTCGGACGATAGCAGTGTTCACGCTTCTCCTCCTTCCGATGATGATAGTAAGCAGCTGGATAAATCAGACATTGACGATAGTGATGATGATAAATCAGATGATGATTCAGGCTTAGTCAGTGATACAGAGTCGACAGACAAGTTGGAGAATGTGAAAGTAAGCTCATTGTTAAGCGATATGGAAAAGATCAAAGAAGATCTAATAAGACGGAATGAATATGAGAAATTAAAGGAGAAATGTAAACGATCGGATTCCGACGACGATTGAACTAATGATGATTAATTATAAACCGATGTAATTCTATACTAATGTGATTATATACATTTGTATATATTTTGCAAAAATTGCTAACAATCTTAATAAGCCCTTTTATCAAAATTGGGCATTCAAAGTTATTTTTTTTATGTAAATCGAAAAACGAGGTTTTTTTTTATACAACTTAGAATGGCAAACAAGCTGACGGCCCACCTGATGGAAAGTGGTAACCGTCGCCTATAGACATGAGCAGTACCATGGACATAACAGAGTATACTGTTTCGCCCATGATACCCCCATGCGTTACCATCCCTGAGGACTCAGGTGTTATTCCTAGGGTACATAGGAATAACACCTATATTACTATTACCATATATTACCACGTAAATTCACGCAATATCCCACCCTTCAAACTGAAACACAGCCATGCACAACTGCTTCACGGTATACACACGAATAGGACAGAGGTACCCAAGCAATAGACTTGTACAAAGTCTCCCTCTGGTAAGGTATAAATAAAACGGATAAAAGCAATATTATATAATGAATGGATAAAAACCTTTATATTGCTACAATATTAAGGTACATTAGGCATGTATTGATTAATTTATATTGTTACTCCAATAAAAATATATTTCATGATTGATTTCTAAATATGTAAATAGGAAAACAGTTATGTTTTAGATATACTATATTGTAAGTTATGACATTAAGTTAAAGTTATTAAAAACAATTCTCATAGCAATTTGCATTTTATTTTTAATATAAGATAAATAGGTAAATATGTCTGTACTTAATATAAAACGAGACAACAGAGCGTAAACGCAAGGGGCCCTTTTAGCTTCCTGGCACGCAATGTGAGCCACTGTTTTTGATTAGGAACGTACATTTCCGCTGGCATCAGGTGTTTCGGAGTATCATTATCTGAAACGAGACAATAGCACTTAAGCAATATTATATTGTGATTCCCTTATTAATTACACCTTAGATTCGATTAATGTGCCATTTAATTTTGATCTGGAATGCAATGCAATTCATAAAAGAGGCAACATTCAACACTGGGGGGAAGGGATTGTTAGCAAAGGGAAGGTTAGTCCTTATTGATATCAATATAACATATCAGGTCGACCTCCACACGGTTCCCTCTGGAAAACATCGTGAGTAATTTATCGTTGAATTCGTCACGATGGGCTACCTGACCTGACTTTTCATCCTCACCGATCATCCCTCACTGGTGCTTCACCAGTGTACACCGATAGCGTAGGCGGGGTTATCATTCCATTATCATCCATTAAAAAAAACTTTTAAAACTCCTAATTATGTGACAAAAAATCAATAGTAAGCCGAACGTGGCTATCTCGTTCGATATAGTATACATACGACTGCGAAAACAACTATAAACTCGTGTGCCATTTGTCAAGAGGCCCATTTTTCAGCCCATTTAAAAAAGGGACTTCTCAATTTGGTCGTATTTTTTGTAAATCGATTTGGAAATATTCTTTTTTATCTAAAAAGATATACTTAGGACCAATCTGTGGTCTTCTAGAATTTTTATCAAAAAAGGTTCAGTAGATTAATTTATAAATCAAAATAACTGGTTTTGCTACAATTTAAGTCAGTTTTTTTGTGGAACATAGTCTTATATCTTTGCCATCCATTACAATTATTGTAATAATTGACCGTCATATTCATGACTGTCTAATTATGTATAAAAATGTTTGATATTGGTTAGGTTACAATTAAAAATTACAGTAATGGTGTAATTTTTAGTAATTTATGCAATCTTTAAACGATTCATTCACTAGAACAAACCAGAAGCTCAAAATCCACATACCCTCTTTTCGGACCTGTTGTGTAGACTGCATAGTAGACTCCTGCATAGAGAGTAGATCCCCAGGCGTATGAAGCAATAAGCGACCGACACCTTCACATCGCCTGTAAATTGAGATACATTAAGAACTGTTATTTTCATATGTAAGTATTTATTAAGTAAGGAAATACGTGGTTATAGATTTTTAGTTATACTCGTAAAAATCAAAGTGGCAAATGTCTAAACATTTTATACTTTTTTTTTAATATAGATGACATATTTGATCATGTAAAAATTTATATCAATTTATATGGTGTTACAGCCATCCGTGGCCTACGATAACCACTTCCATACATCCATCGGGGACGAGGACGGCAATATATCCTGTCAGCTCGACTTCCACGTGGTTCACCCTGAAAATCATCATGGATAATTCTTGTTAAATTAGTCACGATGGGTTAATTGACCTGCTTTCATCCTGACCTATCGTCCATCACTGGTGCTTCGCTAGCATAAATCGATAGGTGAGGTGTAATTACCGTTCTATTATCATCTATTAAAAAAGCCGCTTTCCAACGACAAAATTTATTTGTTTCATTATTAGCGTGTTTAGTTACTTCTAAATAAAAAAAAAGTAAGTCAATTAAAATAATATTGTTAAAGTTACCTTAGAACTTCATTCTGCAACATCTGTTTCTTGGCTGCACCAGTTAGTTGGTTGCAGTCGTTCAACCAGTTGCGTACCTCATTGAAATCCGCTAATAATTGCACAGCGGCCTCTTTGCTAATAAATATATGAAAAATTATAGTCAATTTTTTATACGACTCTGAAAGACAAACATGCAGATGGACCACCTAATGTGATCAACTGAGGGAAAGGGATTGTTAGTAATGCGTAGTACCAGTCCCATTGCTAACAATATACCCTATCAGGTCGATCTCCTCGTGGTACCCCTGGAAATCATCGTACTCAATTCTAGGTTTATTCATCACGATGGGTCAACTGAATCTGCCCTTTCATTCTCACTTATTATCCCTCACTGGTGCCCAGCCAGCGCATATAGTTAGCGTCGGCGGAGTAACCATTCCATTATCATCCATTAAAAAAAACAAATGAGACCAACTAATGAATAGACGTCTGTCGCTTATAGAAATGAACATAATTTCGAATTCAACTATTATATCGTGACAATGAAATCATGAATTTCCTCTAGTATTTTTTTATAATCTTTCTTATAAAAAATTACTAAGTTATTTATTTTCCCGCACATGACGCAACAGCAAATGAGTTGCGAATACTTCGAGTCTTCTATAATTGTATTACCTGAATTTAACTTTTGCTACATATATATGGTGTAGCCATGATTCGCACATTATACGTAACACCATGTTTAAAGTGGTTATATCTTGAGTTGCCTTTGCTACTGGTAACAGCATTTTATCTGTAAATTTAATCATTAATTATCACATTTGTCCTTAAGTATCAACATATATAGATTCTATTATAAGTTTATAGATGAAGACGTATGATAAGCGTTTATAATGCTAAATGCCAATAAATTTACCCAAAAAATCCCGTACGTAGGCGGAGTGGTGTGGCGTGGTACGTGGGAAGGATAACACCAACTGTGCCAGGCTTGTGGTAGCGCACACACTCGATAGAACGCTCGTGATCTCCTCCGTTGCTTCCTGTATATTACGTATTTTTATTTTTAATATTGAAAGGTTATTTAGTATTTAAAGAACGACGTTCATCTCAAATACAAGACATAGAAATAAATTTCCGATGTTAAATTAACAACTTTGAAAAAAGAAAATAATTGGCGCCAATATATAATGAGATACGATGACAAATACCTTTAATTTCTGAATGTTGACCTTCACTTCGGAAACTAACTTTTCTCTCATTTTAGCGCAAACATTCTCATGAACTCCAATTTTACCTATAAACAAAGTAGATATAATACTATAAATATATACCTAAGTTTTCAAAGAGTCATTCATTCATGTCATTCGTTCTACTGTTGAACATAAGTCTCCCCCTATTGGAGGATTTTGCCAGTAGTTTCCAAGTTTCACAGGTGGGTTGGCAACGCTTTAAAAAGAACGCTGCTCATCTCTCGACCACAAAGTTCCCTTAATCGTCTCTTATAACATCTACGAGAAAAGAAGGTATGCTCCATTCTATTGCCGAAATCACACGGCGAGGAGGATGGAGGGTCTTATTAGAAGCGGATATTTAGTTCACCCTTTTGCTGTCCAGGAATTCACTAACAATAATAATATTCTATAATTTGAACCAGAATTTATGGATTACGTTAGTAAAATATAAAATCAATTTAATTGTGTGATTTTGTAGCAGTTAACAGCTTTTATTTAACCTTTACTTACTGAAGTGTGGTAATATTAACTGTCAATTATCAAAAACAATAGATTTTTTTTTGTTTTTGAATAATTATATAAAAAGTGCTCTGATAGCGAATTAAAACGTTAATCAAAGAATATATTGCACACAAATTAACAATTAAAAATTTTGCTACTTTCTACTACATTCTTTTATTCATACATTTATTCTACTTCATATTTTACTTCGAAATTTTTTAAATAGATTTATTGTATCAAAATTTAAATGGTTAGTGACAGTTTAATAAAATATTATTTATTGTATGAATTTTTTTTTTTCTAAATAATAACTAACCTGCTTCTATGATGACGGTATGGTCAGCGAAACGCAAATTTACTAGCTGTTCCATACAGGCCTGCATATCGTTATGCGAGATTCGGAAAAAATCGTCCATTTCCCACATGTTAGCTAGACGTCGGGTCTCCGCCAGACACCATAGTCGATACGTGTGGATTGTATGATCTGTTAATCATTGTTTTAATAAACTTTGTGAAATTTAAGTTCGTATTTTTAGATATTGAATTATGAAATATAAAAATTTAATAAATTAAAATCTTACAAATAAATTCTAATCTTGAGAAAATTTAGGTGGGATCGTCATAAAAGTATTTAATTATTTTGGCTTAAAAATGTAATTATTTTTTATACTCTATTAATGAACATATCGCATAACATAAAAACAAAAAAAAATGTAGTCGAATGAGAACCTCTTCTTCTTTAAATCGGTTAAAAATATTATTTAGTAAAATCGAGGTAAGTACACCTTAATATTTAAAACTTTTTAAAGTTTCAGATCAAGTAATAATTAAACAATTTGTATGTAATCCTACATATATAAATGTGAAAGTTTATAAACACGAAACATCAAAAATTTTGTTACTCAATAATTTAACACACAGTATGTGATACTGTTTCTATGTGATAAAGTTAGTATGAAATAATTCTGACCAAGCCTATGAAGAATCGGTATTTGTTCAACAATAGGCAGATCTTCTATCGGCGCGCCTAGAATGTAGTCCCATGTTACTTCGCACTGGTTGTTTAAACTCACAAGCTGTTGCAGCATTAGCGCGAAATTTGCACCAGTCTCTGTGCACTGTAAATATAAAATACAATTTATTACTGTAAATATAAAAGAAAATATATTATCACGACTTTACAGTCTATAGAGATTATCTCTAATGAGGTAGATAAAGGCATTTGTCGACTGTAGCCGCTGTAGTAAAAGTAACATTCGTAATATTTCACCGAATCCATTTTTAATATGTTCGGCGAAATGTCAATTTCGTAGAACATATTAAAACTTGAGATCGCAAATATATTTATTATCCTTAATCTGTGATTAGAATTAGAAATCCAACGTTTTGAAGTATTCATCATAATCAGTCATTAACTTTTCACTGCTGAATATAGGCCTCCCCATAAGAGAGGTATTGCTAGTAGTTGCCATACTTAGCAGTCGAGTTGGCAACCGTTAGACTTTGGGTGTTTTTTTTTTACAACACAGGGGGCAAACGAGCATGCGGCTCACCTGATGGTAAGTGACTACCGCCGCCCAGGGTCACCCACAACACCAACGGCATTGCAGGTGTGCTGCCGGCCTTTTAAAAAGGAATATGCTCTTTTCTTGAAGGTTATATTGTCGTATCGATTCGGAAATACTGCTGCTGGAAGTTGATTCCGAAGAGTGGTTGTGCGTGGGAGAAAGTGCCTTGAAAAACGCACGGTGGAGGACCGCCACTCGTCCAAATAGTTGGGATGAAATTTTAATTTCTTTGGGTGATGTTTTAAGAGGGACGCTCTTTACCATTAAGTTCTTTTAGTCGCCTCTTACTACACTCACGGAAAAGGTAGGGGTGATTCATTCTATGCTGGGACTACACGGCAATTTGATGTCTTGATTTATATACAATATTGTCTAAGTGCTAATTAAAAATAGAAATAAAATAAATATCTTCAATTACACATTATGGTAAAACTTTGGTGATGAATAGTAGATACTTACTTCAGTAATATATAACGATAGACCAGGGTGAAGCTTCAGTGACGTTGGCATTAGATTCGTAGTTAGCGTGGCCCTGAAAATTATTCAAAACTGTAACTATATTAATGTATGCAAATTAACTGTTCCATATAGATATGAATGCCGTACCATGACGTCCGTGGTACCGTTCGTGATTTATCATTTCCGCAAATTAAGGTGTTATCTCCGTAATTTCATTGCAGGGTCCTATATAATATTTAGGTTATATTCTCAAAATATGTACCATCACTATCGTCATATCAGCCGTTACCTGTCCACTACTGAACATAAGTCTCCCTCATAAGGGCTTTTAGGCTTTTGGTGATGTTTTAAGAGGAACGCTGATGTCAATTCCTCGATCATTAAGTTTCCTTAGTCACGTTCCTACGATGCCTAGGGGATAGGAAGGGGTGGCCTATTCTATACCGAGACCACGAGGCACCCACCATCACTGTAAAGTGTAATATTACATACCCTGAGCTAATACTAATATAAATATAATTCTTAATATTAGTATTATGGCTATAAGAAAAAACTGCTAAAATGTTCTTTTTTTCATCGAAATAACCGTTTACGACTTACCCGAAATGCTTATCCCACGATGTTGAAGTCACATGACATCCCAAAGCGTCAGCCAATATTCTCAGAGCGGATAATACTAACTCTGGGGTGTCTGAAATACAAATAAATCAACACTCAAAGATTAAGCAATAATTTTAATTATTATACTTACTCATTTTGAAAAGAAAGCTTTTTAGAGTGAAATAAAGTGTTGTATCCGTATAAAATACAAATATTTTTTTTAATATTCCGTGTAATTGTTTAACTGTATTATTTACTTAACATATTCGATCGTTTATTGTAACCATACTTACTGTTAACATTAAAGGTACTGAACAACCATTCTCGAAGGTTTTGACAAGTACTGGGTGATCTGTAATATGATAAAAACAACGTATATATCATTATATATACGGGTATTGAGTAAAGTAACGTATACATCATAATGACCGATATAAAGTGTATTTTATCTTCAACCAATTTCACATAGACGTATGTTCTCAACTCGGTTGTAATTTTTTTGCCTGTTACCTCATTATTCCACGAGTTGTACACTGATTTAGAAAATTCTTTATTATCTGAAAAGATTTCCTTACAAATTGGTTCCATAGAAATTTTATCAAAATCGGTTTAGTAGTTTAATTTTTAAATCAAAATTACTGGTTTTGTCACGATTAAAGTCGATTTTTTATGGGAATTTTAATTATTCATAATAAATTGTTTTGCTATATGGAAAAAATTCACCTATCACCACATATATTATACCTTAGACGTTTGGGAGTGAAATGTTTGCCATTCTAAGTTGTATAAAAAAAAGAATAAGTAGATTTGAGATGTACGAATATATTACAAACAGATTATATAAGCAAATTGGACCATTTTGTACCTCGTAGCTAATGGGAAGGAGGACCACCAAAGTACAATATGTTCAAGACAACTGCCCACATCGCCCCACAGTATGTTCTGATAGCACTCAGTCACTTTATGCGCTGCTTTTTTGCTGGCTTGAATGCGACCTGTTGATATAGAGAAAAACGCGAATTAGAATTTAAAATACGAGTATTAGTAAGTTTTATATTAAGATATATTATTCTTAAAATATCTTACTTCCTCCTATCTTACGAGTATACTATTATAAACGTGAAAGTTTTTAAAGATGAACGGATGGATGTTTGTTACTCTTTCATACAAAAATTCAGATTAGAATGAAATTTGGTAAGTACACGAATAAGTTATAGTTTATACAGTGAGTTTTTTTTTACGTATGAAAATGCAATGGTAGCTCGCATGCGCTGTTAGTATACACTGAGTAATATTTGGGATTTAAAAGGACAGAAGGAGTATATACAGGAGGAGCTCAATACTAATAATTCCTAATGGGGTAAATTGAGCCGGTAATTGTCATTTCCGTGATATATGCTTACCGTATAATATATGTTTAATATACGTGTAACATTAGAAAAAAAAAATTTAAATCATAAAAAATTACCGAAGGAAATAAGCAAAGTATATCACGTAGAACATAAAAGTCTTTGTAATTTGAGAAAAAGAAATAAATAATGAATCTACCTGATTTCAGCTTTCTCACTCCATTTGGTCCCAACAGTAAGGGAGCCATATTTGCAACGGTATCCAGAAGGATTTCTATATAAATTTCTTCACTTTGAAGTATGCTATTAACATTCTCTGTAAAATAATAATAATAGTAAGTATCTATTTAAGATCCATATTAATATTACCAGCATTTACTTTCTTTGTATGCGTGAAATTTGTTAGCTTTACTCCTAAGGGGTTGAATATCAAAATGTCGTTCTTATTTTTAATCTATGTTATATAAAGAGCATATCCACAAATTTCCAAAAAATTCGCAAGTGTTTGTTACCTTGCTTGCTTAAATTAATTACATAAAGGATGTTGTAAATACCTTCATTATTTAGAATATTCTCCAGAACGCATTCATTAGTCAACAACGAGGCATAGGCGACATCGCAATCTGAATTCTGACCGGCCACGATTTGATTCAATTTCTTATTATGCTCATTTTTCACTTCAACAAGACTCTGAGCTTGTTTCATTTTTGCTTTCTTGTGTTCTATGAAAGCTTCGCGACGTTTTTCTACCGTTAACTCACGGGAAATAGTGGATGTTGGTGGCGTTATATGCTTAGTTAGGGTGCTATAAAAGATAAAAATACTTATATAAGTAGTTCAAAATTTATGTCTTAATCCTATGAATATTATATACGTGATTATTTAAATGTTTGTTTCACAACCCATAAACAACAGAAAAGATTTAAATAGAATTTGGGATTTAGAAAGACAATATTATATTGAATTAACACAGCAAAGATATCTTTTATAAGTATTAAAACACACGGACTATTAACGGAATAAAATTAAGTATATCTTTCTCTCGTTGTGTGTATAATGGGCCACCACTTCCTTTGTGGTTGTCGTAAGTAGCGACTAAGTGTTAAATACACTTATAGTCGAAGGATGGGCAGCAGCGCCCCTTTTAAAAGATCACCAAAATGTAACTGCGGTTACCAACTCGCTACTCGAACTACTAGCAAAACCCCTCTAAGAGGGAGGCCTATGTTCAAAAGTGGACAATTAAAGGCTGATATGACGATATCTTTCTCTCTGTATAAGTGTCAAGCTTATTCGTAGATACGTTTAGGGCCGATTCTGGACACATTAAAACAAGACACTGGCTGTCTTTATATCGTTCTTCCCAGTTTGGCATTAACTTGAGGCTCATTGCCGTATGGCAATCAGTCTCGTAACCAGCTGCCTATTCAGCTGCCTGCGTATTAAGACTGATATGTGAAGGCCAGTGGAAATTGATAATAAAACAATCTTACTGGTATATTTCCAAACTTTCCGCGGTACTAGTGGTTGAGTCGTTATCTGAATTGTCACCAGGTCTGTACACGTTCACTAAACAATTGATTAGTCGCTGGCAGTTAACTTCAGCACGACTTTTAGACAAAATCTGGAATAAGAAATATATAAATAATTGTTATCCATTCTTCAACTAATACCTCTATTTCTACATATATTTCTTGCAACATTTCCCCAGTACGACTTCTTATAATCAATTTTCATAACATTTTTATCATATTATTAACTGGTTCTATTTGTAATTCATTTTATAATTTTCCTAAGTTAATACATTCTTACCAATTTACAAAGGAGTGTATATTGTAGCGTGTGTGTTGTGTATTTATAAATACATACAAATCCATTTACTCACTTGAACAATTTTAGTTAAAGTTACAGTTTTAGTTTCGCTAATAATGTTGGGATAAGTGTTACTGCAAATATTAAATTTGGCTGCAAAATTCTTGTAGCTTAACCCTATTAAGTGGTTGTAAATTGCAATCAGGCTGAAACAATAGTAAAGAAATTGAGATTTTTTTATAAAAGTTTTATTACATTTATATATATTCCCAATTCTCTTTCAATAGCTCTTAAATGGAAATTACTTAAAAAAGTACCTTAAAGTGGATTCAATCATTTTCCTCGAGTCATCTCTGTGTAAGCACGTGTTTAGTATGACTGTTATAAGATTATGCATCGCTTGCAACATTATAAATCTACAGCCACACAACTTATCAAAAATGTGGTCATGTTTGCTTTGAATTAAATCATTTTGCTTCTTCAATCGTGCCAATTTCGGATTTAACTTATAAAAAGATTTTACTAACTTCGACAGATATTCTATTATTTGATCTAACACCTGTAAAATATAAACGATTTATATAAACATAGTATGTGCAGCTCATCTTACATTTTTTAATGATGAAAATGGAATTATTTCGCCATCCGGACTATCGGTATATACTGACGGGGCACAAGTATGTGATAATAGGTAAAGATAAAGACAGGTAGACAGGTCAGGTCAGTGACGAATCGTGACGAATTCACCTGGAAATAACTATGGTTTCCAGGGGGCACGCGACATTCGCGTGGAGATCGATCTGACAGTAATGGGGACCGTTAATTCCCATTACTAACAATATATGCATCATTCAATTACCTCCATCCACATTTAGGATGAATACGGTTCTAATAGTTTTATTATCTGTATTTAACTGCGAACCATTTTTCTATATATAATTATCTCTAGGTGAGATATTCCACCGATATATCGCTACTCCACCGATGTTATTATGTTTTATATAACTTTATAATAAAAACAGTATTAGTATTAAACTTACTTGTATGTTAACCAATTCCAAAATATAGCTTCGATTGGACAAAGAATGGCTATTAGTTTTACCAGTGGCGCCTTTCCATTTATTATCCGCATCCAATATCACTTTTGTTACAGCATAACATACGGTTTCCATCTCACGACAATGTATGAAGAGTTCCTCCTCCTCGCTTGTCTCTTCGCTTATCCATTTCTTACTAACTACTTTACTCGACATCTCTTATAGAATAATAAAGTCTATATAGGCATGTGTTAACTCATAGGGGACATTGTGGAAACTAAGCCGCCGCATTACTGTAGAATCAAAATCGATGTGTAGAGACGTCGGTGCCAGCTGGAGTAACGAAGCGTCGAAGAGGTTGTAGGACAACTCGCAAATCGCTATAATTAAACTTTTTATGACTGTTCGACCCTGTCATTGACTTTATATAAAATATATCATAGATAGACCAGCTAATTCCCGCAGCTTTGTACGCATTGTGTTTCGCATTTGAGTTGAAATATTAAAAAATCTTTTTTAAATGAATGCTTACGTTATAAAATAAATCTGCGTTATAAATTTCAGCTTTCGGGGCAGTAGTTTTGGCTGTATCGAGTTAGTCAATACATACACATTTACAGATACGAATAGATTTATGTGATATAATAGTGAGCGAAATATTCTGGATTTATAATATTTATCATGCAAGTAACTAAATTAATCATCATTATATACGACCACTGACGTTTTATCAGAATTTGCATGTTTATCAGTGGCGGATTTACCAGCAGGTTGAGTAAGTTGGAGCCTAAGGTAGCAAATTTGGGGGTAATATATATTTTTTTATACACTTATTTATAAATAACAATTTTAAGAACTAGGCTATTGAATTGTCAATGTCGAAGAAGCGGCAACATTTGAAGTCTATTAGCAACGAATGTATAAATCAAGCACGAAAGTTAATGAAAATTTTATTTCGTATAAAGCAGTCTATATCATCTTTACGTAATTAGGCCAATGTAATTTGAGTGAAGGCCACATCAAGGTTTTGGCTATGTCCTCGAAAGCAGACAGAGGGTTAAAATAGTCACTTTAGGTGATTCATAGTTATCTTCCTCTGAGAATACACCATTTTATTAGCCTGGTTATATGAGGATAATATTATGCCTTATATACCTGTTTAATGATGGATTTTCAATTATAAAAATGAATTGACATTATATTGATCTGCCATAGGTACATAAATACACCCATTTTACTTATACATAAATGACTTAAGAATAATTGGAAAACTTATTAAGGGCAAACTGAATAAAAGACAGCAATTATGTACAGCTGGTACTTTTAATTTTGACGAAACAATTTATGGAATTGTTATTCCATTAACAAAATAATCAATCCACGTTACAAAAATTGATAATATAGGAAGAGAATATCACAGTAAACGAAAGAGCGTAATCTATACAGTAAAAACTAATTGAGTAACAATACTTTATCTTATACATATATTATTATTTATGGCAATACAATAACACAAAACTAGACTGTTATTGGCAATGCTGCACATCAATTCCGGATTGGCCTTAATGTTTCGTAATTTGGTCAGAAAACTTAATGTTTACATTCTGTAGTTTCGAGATTTCGGCTATTTATTTATTTTTAATTTTTGTTTTATCGCAAATAATAAATTAAAAGATAATTTTACTGAAAAATATTTTTTTAAAGATCAGCAGCTAAATTATCTTTATTATTAATTATGATAAACTCTAAAGGCAAATAGGATTGAGAAAAAAATTACACTCACGCAAGTAAAGGAAGTTTCTCTTATAGAAATATAGATTTGTCAACATTTCTATAAATTATAGCTATTCGAGTTATAGTTGCTAAAATACATCATCTTGTTACTCTCGTGCCAAGCACTTACTCTTAAAGTCTACCTATTAGAAGGTACAGTACCAAATATATCATTTCTTTCTTTATATTATTTCTTTTTTTTTTTTTGAAAAGGACGAAAATAAACACAAAACATAAGAGACAGTATATTGGGGGTCATTTTACGTAAATTTTGATACGACATGTCAAATCTTTAGGTAGAAAGTACTTAAAGGCAATGCACGTTTTGACCTTAATGTTCATACGAATAATATATAAAAAAAAACTGGTCATACGAGGTCTGTCCGGAAAGTTCGTATAAAAGTGTTCTGGAATGCGAGAAAGAGGAGTGGGGAGGCCAGGTAAGCGCAGGACCCCTTCCTTATGTCCCTAACAATGCTTCAGTTCTGGTCTGACCGCCGTGCGGTGCGAACTGGCTTGTCACGCCATCTGTGAAGTTACCTCTTAACGAAACCCCGTCGGCATGGAGCCCGCTTCCGTTGAAGAGCAGCGCGTCGTAATCAAGTTTCTCTCGAAACTCGGCAAGAATGGCCGTGAAATTTTTGAACCGAGTCATCACTGGAGATGAGTCTTGGTTCTACAAATTTGATGTCGAATTAAAATCCCAAAGCAAAGAGTGGAAGACATCCGGGGAACCACGAACAAAAAAATCAAGAAAATCCCGCTCAAATGTCATATTGTTTTTTTCGATGTTCGGGGGATTGTCCATCAAGAATTCGTCCCTCCAGGCCAGACAGTTGATGGAAAATTCTACGTCGATGTGCTCAGACGCCTCAAAGCTCGTGTGGCACGAGTTCGTCCAGAATTGGCGCGAGAGGGCGTTGGATTCTTCACCACGACAATGCCCCTTCCCACACCTCTCTTGTTGTCCGTGAGTTTTTGAGTAAAAATTCCATTACGGTGACCGAACACCCCCCTATTCGCCGGATTTGGCCCCGTGTGACTTCTTCTTGTTCCCAAAACCAAATTGGTACTTCGGGGGCGGCATTTGGGGGACATAAATGAGATAAAAAAAGCTACGACGGGGCAGCTGAGAAACCTACAACCAGAGGACTTTCAAGGAGCCTTCTCACAGTGGAAACGGCGTTGGCACAAGTGCATTATGTCACAGGGGGATTTGAAGGGGATAAAATTGATTTACCTGAATAATTGTAAAATAAAATTTTTAAAAAACTTTTATACGTACTTTCCGGACAAACCTCGTATATCAAAATATGTGGTGGAAATTTTACGATTACAATTTAGCTACAGACCCCGCATTTTTTATCACGAACACCTACAATATTACCGTGTCTGTTTTGCCAACTTTTATTTTTTTATGGTAGTCCATCACGAAATATTATGTAATTTACCTAATCAATTTTAACCCTTCATTGCATGATTTTTTTTATTGGTGAATTAAATCAAGGTGATATAATTCATGTTCAAAATTAAAGGAAAAATGGTTAAAAAATAAATTTGACAGCTATGTTTTTTTTTCTGCAATGGACATTAAAAAGGTATCCAGACACGATTAACTTAAAGTGAACTTGTTCTTTTATATAATTTTTGGGCATTCAATGTTATGATGGAAGTTTCCACCATTATGCAAAGAAGGGTTAAGCACAACGTATTAAATTTTGAAAAGAATAAAAGTATTATTACTCTATTATTACATATACAGTTCATCACAAATCAATTCTATACATCACTTTATGGACTTGTGAAACGAGGGAATCCTTGGTGCACTTGGTTAAAACAGAACAAAGAAAGAAATAATTATTAAATATAGAATGTATAAAAATAAAAACTAAAGACAAAACATGTATAACAGAACATGAACGATAATTACAATACATTGTGTATCGTACACGAGTTCGCGGCGAATCCTTAAGAGACATAACAGGATTATTGTCTTCTACGTCAAAAAAAAAAAAACATTATTTTCGTGCCATAAGAGACGTCAGAGAAATAAAGTATATATTATAATAAAGTTATACTTTATTTCTCTAACGAAAAAGATACGGCATTTAAAATTTCCATAAAAAATTGTCTAGAATTGTTCTGAGCAAAGCTGCTGTGTGCGGGTCATAGAATCCAGGAATATTTAATAGATATGTTGTTATCAAATCCCTTGTTTGCACAGGTCCTAATGTACTGTTTTTGGTGATTTATAAAGACATATTTACAGTAATATATATTCAGCGTATATGTATTAAAACAATAGTGTAGTAAATATAAATGCTGTTAACTCAGCAACACAATATGTTATAATTTGATATCATACTGTTCTTAAAGTACATCTGTTACAATTTTATTCATTCTTAATTAATAGTATATTCTTAAATAAAACATAAAAAGACTCGCGTCATGGCAAGACTGTGGTTTGTCTCACATTTCTGCTAATATCGTATTGCATAGCAGAACAACACTTCATAGTACCACTTCATTAAAAAATAAAGTTATAAAATCGAAAACCATTAGAACTACAATATTCTATAATTCGTTTAAGGTTGTTATTTTATTTATCGATATGAATAGGTACTATAAGTCGATATTAAACAGCCATTGTGATGTGTCCCAAACACTTTCTTTTTTTTAATAAAAGTTTGGTTCACCTTCATCGTGATATTAGCCGTTATCTATCCACTGTTGAACATAGGCCGTTAGTTCATCTTATAGATCATAATTGTTTCAAGCAGTTTTACGTATAATATAATTGTTGTACATAACTTTTTTTTTTTATTGTAGACTGTAAGAACGAAAATTAAGCATATATTACGTTTATGCCTCTTATGTAAATTAACTATTTAAACACAATAGTAACATGCGGATTTTTATTTTTTTTATCTATCCCATAATAAAAGGCCACTTTTTGCCCATTGTTAATTTCAAACTACTAATATAATATTGTCTAGATTTACTAACGTAAATACTTTGAATCGTTTAATGTGCGCAATCGTTAAAACATTTATCCATACTTTATTGCAAGGAACTGGTATTTTTTTTTTTTACTAATTCTAATTAAATATAACAATACTATTATTAGAACTTCAAGTGAAGCGAACAACATTCAAATAATGGAAAGCTTTATCATTTGTGTTGGCAAATATACATGTTCGTGCTAAGTTCTTAGTATATTCTTAGTAAATTTAGAGAAATAAAAATACTATTTAAAGAAATACTGGCGACACTAGTTACAAAATAATAAATAATGAGTAACATTCGTGATGTCGAACAAATATTACGTTGAAAATATAAAGCGATGTCTAAAGCCAATATTTCAGATGCAAACAAAATGGAACAAAAAATATAGGTATATGAAATCTATATATACATAAAACAATTGCTTCTTTTCATCAATTGATATGATTTTTAATATTATTAAAACTTTCCTAGATAAAAATACCTATCTATACATAAGATTTCAACTAATTCATATTGATGTTCATTGGCTATTAAAAACTTGAAATAAATAGTGTGTACCCTCAACAGTGTAAAAAAGGTTTTTTTGTTGATATAAATTTATACTAAACAACAAAAATTTTAACGCTAACATTCTGTAAATACAAGAGTAACTTAAACACTCTACTACATACAGCACCTGAAAAATAATTTATAGAAAATTATAAAAATAAAATATAATTTCTAGTTTTAAATATTATGTTATAGGCACAAGAACAGACACTAGAACTACGGAAAACTCACTACCACATATCTACCTAGATACAAAATATCTACACTACGGAGAATTGTAATTTGGCATTGGCAACACTGGCCTAGGTGCAGACGGCTTAGCAAAAATAAGAAGTGAAACAAACTTGTTTTAGTGAAAAAGATATGATAATGCGTAATGTTATGCAATAATATAGGGAAGCCTACCAAAAATATTATGGTAAATCGACATTAAAATTAATTAAATTGTTACATTTCTGCAACAGTAATGGTACTCAATTATAAATTAGGATGTTTAAATGATGATTCAACACAAGATTTGAGAATATTTTGAAATTGTATTCATGTGTTGGTTTTGCATTTTTTTAATAAATACTTTATTATATTTTTAAAACTTTCGGAAGTGTTCTTGAAATATCAGTTGTCAAAAATTATATAGAAATATACTTCATTATCATATAAACACTCTAGTAGAGACATTTATAAATTAATAGAATGGTCCTGGCTGTAAACTATAGTAAATATTATAGTCAGTCAACTTAATACAGGGGGATTTATATATGGGATGATAGACGCATGCACGCAGTAGCCATACAGTTTTGCCTTCCGGTAAACTCCGTGTAAATTGTATAGCTAGGCTATCGTGTAGCCATACATTCTTTAAAGTGTTCTATACGAATTTGACAAATTTGAGACGACGCCAATTCCTCATTAACCTTTCGTTTGATTTTTGCCGCAATGAGATGTAAGTTATTTTATTATGCATTTAATACACCTGTATATTATACCTGTACCTGAATTCAAGAACATTTTAATGAATACATTATTATCGTAATTTCTTAGGATGTATTTCACTAGTCATTAAATTGTTATTTATTAACTATTATAACAATAACTTTATTACAATAGAAAGGAGTAAATAGATCATAGATAAAGTCAGTCAAGGAAGGAGAACATATACACATTACAATATAGAACACGAAAGCATTACTCTAATTTCAGAAAACAGTAAACGAATATTCGTAATTTCGTAATATCTCTTGTATAAAGTATAGACAAAACAGGGCTTAGTGCTAATATAAAACTTAACAATTTGTTTAATATTGCTCTGTTATAATTTAAGCCAATATTTACATGATAAACAAATATCTAACGAGTGAACACACATGTCAGCGTTTCAGTAAAGCTATTATATGAATCCTCAATCTGGCATATCTATACTAGTAACAGGCACTACTGGTTTCATGGTTTCGTTCTTCTTTTGATTTTTATTGGACTTTTTGCTATCTTTCACCTTTCTGTGAGTGTCCTCATCCCTGTATGGCTCCTGGTTGACAGGCTCGTTTGACATCCCATTGGAACCTCTATTTACGTTGTTGTTATAAGCTATATTAGCATATTCTTGTAAAAGTGGAAACACCGATAACAGGAACTGACAAAAATCTTTTCTGATTCCAAACCACCCTGGTAAAGATATACATATATATATAATTTTTATTTTGAATTAAATGATGGAAATGAAATTTAAAGAATTAAAAAGATAATTTGGTATTATTTAATGTCAAATTTAATTTTGTTTTATGTATAAACCATTAGCAATATTTTAAATTCGATATTTTTTTGAGTACTTTAAAAAACAAAAACTTTTTTTAACTGCTTATTGTATTGGTCTATATTTTTTTACTACCAACCACCCACCTTGGCTTTAATTGTATAGTGATACGTGATTTTTCAACGGCTTCAAAATGAAGGAGGTAATGTTTGTTACTTCATAATTTCGTTAGTTGTAAACGGATTTGGAAAATTATTTTTTTATATTAAAAGTTATACTTATAGATTGGCCTCATAGAAATTCTATTAAAATCAGTTTAATAGTTTTATTTTTAAATCCAAAAACTGGTTTTGCTACAATTTAAGTTTTTTTTTTTTTGTGGAACACTGTACATATTCAAAACTACTTATCGGCGAATACAAAATTATCCTATTTTTTAAGCTAAAATCAATCACACACCTTTACAAAACTGAAATTAAATAGTTTGACCGATTTCATAGATTAATACAAACACAGTGACGCGTAATTTTTATATATTAAGATACAGAGACCATTTCTTCTATTTAATAAATTTTTAATTTTACATGAATAATATCAATTTAATTAAACAGTAAACATGAGTTTTTGTTTCACTGTTTACATTTATAGAATGTATTTAATATTTATATAAATGGAAAAAATTCAAAGTACTTACATTTATTACCACCTTTAGAACTGAATGACATGATAATGAGTGTGGCGTAGCTGACAAAAAGCGGACTCACTACTACAGTGTAGGACAGTGCGAGACCGTCATCCAATTTATTAGTTAACAGCACCTGAAAATATAGTTAATAATTAAAATATATTCATTAACTTCAATCTTCAATCATTATATATATATATATATATATATATATATATATATATATATATATATATATATATATATATATATATATATATATATATATATATATATATATATATATATATATATATATATATATATGTGTGTATATATATATATATAAGGAATAGCTTTTCTTGCCCGTTCTTCTCAGCTTAAATTGTATTCTGAACTGGGCTTATAAAAACGTAGACTTATAAAAAAAAGTGACAATTCAAAAATATTTATAAGTTTACTTGAATATAATTTAATATTTTATATAATATAATATAATTTAATAATTTATTTATTATTATTATTATTATTATAAATAGACAAAGTTTATTTTATTTATTATTGTGATTTGATATAAAATTTTAGACTAATACGAAGTTTTTAAAAAAAACTCAAAAAAACTTCAAAGAGATTTGCCTAAAAACTATTAGTAGGATCTAAATACTAACAAACGTCGCAAGCACACGTAAATAAATTACAGTTAAGACGAACCTGAAACACCAGTATTGGTATCACAGTAAATGTGTATGCTAGCGCCGAATTAAAACTGGTACGTCGTTGTTGCATGTTCACTTCGGGAGTACGCAGAAGGATACCAGCAAATATTATACTGTACAACACTCCTGCAAACAAAACAACTTTGAAAAATGGCATCCACACAGTGCAGGAAACCATCAATAGGAAATAGTTTTTTCCTTTTATATTGATGCATGTAATAATGACTTGCCTTTATAACACAATGAATGAATGTGTCAAGTTAAAAATTATAAGAAATACTGAAAGAGAATTTAGCCACAAGATTTTTTTTAATTTTTAGTAATTATTATCAAATTTGTTTGATAACAATAAAATTTGCATCATGTTTGATAAATATATATTTTCTCCACTTAAATGCAATCAGTCAAAGAGTTGTATTTAAAAGTATTATTGTTTATATTTAAAAGGGTACTAAATATATTGATCAGTTTTTTAGTACATATAGTTGGGGACTAGATTGATCAGTATAGTACAAAAATAATAATAACACAAACAAAACTGAATTAAAAAGAGATTGAAATTAGATTAACTTAAAATTCCTATTATTGTCTGGAATTAGCAGCAATCTTTAAAAAGGGCGAGCACAATATAGAAATAAATAAATATATCTCAAAGGTACCAGTATTACAGGGGTTTCAGCCTGAGTAGCCTGACAAAGCCCATTTCTCAATTGTAACAATAGATTGTATGAAAGCTACATACACTCACCTACTAAGCTGAGACACATTAGTATCCAAAGTGGGACAAACACCACTTCCCATGACCAGTTGATAAAATCATCTAACTTCAACGCCAAGAATATAAACTGAAGGATATTTACAGCACAAAACAACTCCAGCTGAAATATACAATGCAAATTACAATTTAATTTAATTTAAAATGCACATACTTATTGAAAACATATATTTCTTTAAAATATTGTTGTAAAAAACTTATCTACATATATTACTTACCTCATAACTACGATCATGTTTTACAGACCATATACAGATGGCAATGGAAACTATACTTATAAAAATTAATGGTATAAACACCAGTATCCATACATGGCGTTTTGTAGTCAACTGATCACATACAAGCAATTCAAACATTAATAGAATTAAATGTATGGCGAGACTTATAAGCATAGCCTTGTAATGGATATATGCCTCACCCTCTAACCTGAAATAAAAATATAAATATAAAACTTAAACAACAAATATAGGCTATAAAATTTATACTGTAATAAGAAAAAATATTTAAAGTATAAGCAAATTGAAAATTTTATTATAATGAATGAGAAACAACTTGACAGGCCACTAACAGACAGTAAGTGGTAACCATTGTGTATAATAAACATGTACAGCACCATAATCCTCACAAAATACTATAAAATGCAAGGGCATATCAAGGGAAATGCATGAAGTATATTCATGCATTGCCACTACTAAAGTCTAGAGGATATTATGTCTTTGTATTCAGTTCTCCTTTACCCTTCAGACTAACAATCCTGCAATCATAGATGCTAATTAGCAAAAATATAGTGAACAGAGTTGCCCACTAGACATGGTTAGACCAGGCTAGTTTTTATTTATTTATATATTCATTAAAAATAATTACAAGATTATAACAAAAGCCAAATCAATATTATAAATCTAGTGTGCTAACATACAAAGTTAGAGGGAAAAGGGATTGTTAGTAATGGAGACTGAGAATCCCATTGCTAGCAATATACCTAACCAGGTTGACCTCCTCGTGGTTCCCCTTGGAAACTATCATGATTAATTCCTGATGAATTCATCATGATGAGCTAACTAGCTTGTTTTCATTCTCATTTATCACCATGATGGGTTAACTGACCTATTTTCATTTTCATCTATTCACCGTTCACTGGTGCTCCACCAGCGTATCCCGTTAGCGCAGGAGGGGTTACCATACCATTTTCACCCATAAATAAAAAAAAAACACAAAGTTATAATAAATGTATTTAACGCAACTAGATATTTCTGAGCCGCTTCTAATATCTTTGGCAGGATACTACTAAATATATCAATGATGTTTATAATATTATTTAATAACTTTACTGTGTTTAGTTAACAATAATAATCATTACAAATGTCTATGTATACAAGTAATGAGGCAAGTTCCATTAAAAGAATAATAATAATCGCCTTTGTACTTTTGATTACCTCTGTCTTAATCTTATAATTAGTGTGTACAATAAAGAATTAAATAAAAAAATAAAATAAATATGCATACATATATGTCCCACTCCTGTCTCATAAGAGAGAAGAGAAATAATATCATGACCCGCACATTTCTATTTAAACAGATCTATTTAATTTTTTTAAGAAAACAATACTTTAAATGATAGGTATACAGTAAATAGACTTTAATTTAGGACTGAGCCAATTCTCAGGGTACCCACTAATCAATTTGTTTTCAAACTATTCTATAATGTTCATTTTGTCTACAATGCAAGCATTTTTGTATGATCGTATGCAGTCATTCTTAGTATCTCATTCTAATATTTATATTTCAATTTTCATAATATTTCATTTTGTTGATTATATAGCTGTATATAGTACATAATATAGTAGCTATAAATAAAGCTCACAATTACAGAATCAGAAGATAATACTGACCTGAAATGAGGATACTGCCACCAAACATAGGTACCAACGGTTGCACCCAAAACTACTAAGAATTTCCAAACCCAAATGGGTGTAAAAACTGCCCAGTAGGACCATGTTATTGAATTATCTAATTTCAAAGCTAATAAAGCAGTGAATATAAGTAAACAGCTGTGGACGACGAATTTGCTGGAAAATTAATGACTTTGTTTATTTCACATCTAGAAACAATACTTTGTGTATAAATATGTCCATACAATACATTAAAAATTTACCTAGGATTGAAATCTTGGAATAAGGTCTGCAAATTCATTTCCATACACATTCGATCGGATCTAATTTTAACATTTCACATCTAAAACCAGTAACAATAATTTTAGAATTAAAATTCAGATCAAATAGATTAAAATATGAGACACGGACATAAAAGTATGGACGTATTGTAATAATAATACCAAAGCATAACTTGTCACTTGATAAATCTTGACGGACACACATAGTGTTGCCAGAAAAATCAGCTGGAAATTGCTAAAAAATATATCATATCAGCCTAAAATCACCCATTCATTTATTATTAAATTATCTATATTCTTATTGTAAAGGAAAATCTTTGAATTCAACGAGCAAGTTCTAAACCATATCAGGTAGTAATCACAAAACATGTTTGAAATTAAAAATATTTTTATTCAATCATAAGTTTTTTGTATAGTTATAATTTTATCGGCCAACTCAGAATGCAACTTCAATCGATAAGAATGCGTAAGTAACTTAGCTGTTACTTTTTCCAAATATAATTTGACTAAAAACTCAAGTTATACATAAGTATATCAACAACTTAAACTATATTTTATACTTATATTTGAAAGAAGCAACCGCTGATCTTCTACTTTGGGGGGTTTTGAGAGTAGTCGTCATGCTTAAGAAGCAAGTAAGTAATTGCATTTAGATTTTGATGATATTTTAAGAAAGACACTACTGTCTATCCCACGACCATAAAGTTTTCCTAGTCGCTTTTATGATATTCACAAAAAAGAAAAAGAAGCCATAATGATTTTCCGAAACTATCGTATTAAAATATTAGGTTTAGTAAAATGGTGCCTTAGAATAAACCTTAATAGCTGTCATAAATTAAGATTTTACAATCAATCAATATTTTTGGATAGATTAGCCCCTATAAGGTATCAATGCTGAGGAAAAAGGAACAGTGACAAGTCTTGAAGTACAGTTACATTTCAAAATTTGCTGTTGTTTTTATTATGTCTGAAAAATTACCCGATTATTATTACTTCATCGTATTATAAGAAAATTTATATTTTTGGCTATCGATCGCGTAATATTCTTTGAGATAACCTAAAAAGCAAAAATCGTTTTATCTGGCAACATTGGCCGTACAATATATGATACAGCAGACAGCTGGCTAATGCAAGTTTTTTTATTTTGTCACGATACCATAAAAGTGGTGAATAGAGACAAAACTGAATTTTATACATGCATACGTATATAATACAATTTTGTTGTAAACAGCTGTTCTTATTAAAGAGATAAATGGCACATTATTTAATTTGTACAATATATGCTAATATATTTTTGGAACACTTATTTTTATTTTGAAATTTGGTAATAAAAATTGAAAAATGATAAGATTTGCACATTTTTGAAAAAATTCTATAGCCTCTATTTAGATTTCTGTGATCGAAGGATGACAGTCAATGTCAAAATGAAGTGTCAATTTTGTCAGTGTCATAAATTTTCAAATAAAATAGCCAAGCCAATTTGCTTTTTGCTGTGTAGAGTTATTTTTTGAATTTTAAACTAGGTATTTATTATAATAATTCATCTACATTGAAGTATAATTCATAATGGCATCTCCATCTCCGAAGTCTCCAGAGCAAAGTGAAAAAAATAAGCAATATGATCGACAACTACGTCTATGGGGTGATCACGGACAAGCGGCACTTGAAAGTGGGCATATTTGCTTAATAAATGCGACAGCATTAGGCACTGAGGTACTCAAATCCATAGTTTTGCCTGGAGTCGGTTCCATTACAATTGTTGACGATAATATTGTAAGTGATGAAGATGTAGGATGTAACTTTTTTCTCGAATGCTCAAGTAAAGGTCTAAATAGAGGGTCAGAAGCGTTGCGATTAATATTAGAACTAAATCCTGCTGTCCAAGGTCATGCTGTTCAAGAACCACCTGATCAAATATTGGAGCAAAATCCAGATTTCTTCAAATCATTCAGTGTAGTTATAGCTACTGTACTTAGTGAAAAAACTATTCAAGAATTAGCACAACATTTATGGGATATCAATGTCCCATTTATTTTATGCCGATCAGTAGGTTTTTTAGGATCCTTTAGAATTCAAATAAAGGAACATACCATTATTGAAACCCATCCTGATAATGAACAACCTGATCTGCGCTTGGATGTTCCATTTCAAGCATTGTCAGATTATTTAAATAGTTTCAATATTGATGATATGGATTTGAAAGATCATGGACATATACCTTGGATAGTAATACTTTATAAAGCAGTCCAAAAATGGCAAATTAATAACCCAAATAGTTGGCCAATGAGTAGGAAAGAGAAAAATGAAATAAAAAATTTGATCCAAGAATTTATAAGAAAGGATGAAAATGGGATACCTATCAATGAAGAAAATTTTGAAGAAGCCATTAGAGCAGTCAACACATCATTAGTACCAACATTTTTACCAGTCAAGATTCAAGAATTTTTATATAGTAGTGCAGCAACAAATTTAACAAAAGAAAGTCCTTCATTCTGGATAATGTGTTCAGCACTAAGGAGTTTTGTGGAAGCTGAAGGCAAAGGAAAATTACCTGTTCGTGGGGTGTTGCCTGATATGACTGCATCAACAGAACACTATGTTACACTTCAAAATATTTACAGAACACAAGCTGCCATGGATGCAGAAATTGTTTACAGAAAGGTGCAAGAAATTGTTTCTCAACTGCACTGTGATACTATAAGTGAAAATGAGGTAAAATTATTTTGTAGACATGCTCATGATTTATACTTACTAAAAGGTTCCAATATAGTTACAGAATATCAACTGGGTACCCCTGTAGCTTCATATATAGCAAGACATCTAGAAGAACCAGATGTTATGATGGTACATTATATAATGTTAAGAGCGGCTGAGATGTTCCGATCTGAGCATTGCAGAGCTCCAGGGGATTGGGAGCCAGAAGCGGATATTACTAAATTGAAGTCATGTGTTTCAAAACTGCTCAGTGACATATCATGTTCCCCTTTCCCTAAAGATGACCATATCCATGAAATGTGTAGATATGGAGGTGCTGAGATTCATACGGTATCTGCATTCTTAGGTGGTTGTGTGGCTCATGAGGCAATTAAATTAGTAACAAAACAATATAAACCTGTTAATAATACATTTATATATGATGGAGCTTCTACAAATACTGCAACTTTTACATTTTAATATCTTTGTGTAATAAAATCAATAAATTGTAACTGTATTTTATTTTTGTTCATTTAATGCTATTAAATTGTCACATTACCCATAAGACAATGACAAATGTGCAAGGAGTTCAACTGATTGAAAGTAGTAGTCATAGTCTACAGACATGCATATCACAGAATACTGGAACTCTTCCTGCATCACCATTCCTGAAGACTATGTATGGTCATTACTCATGTTTGTAGATTGCACTGGGGTTTTCACTCTGCACACACAAATACAATGCAAAATTGACAGACCATGCTAGAAGTAATCAAATTTATAGATGAGTGTCATTAAACTTTGATATCACCTATCATTATTATGATTTAATAAAACAATAGGAGTCAATAATTTATAAAATAAAAAATAAGACAATTATTAATATGCAGTTCTTAAACACTCATTTACTATCATTTCACTCTCTTCTGATTTTATTGTTGATACATATTAATATATATATTTTTTAAGTAAGTAAAACCTTTATTAACAAATTAGTAAACTTCAGTCAATGAACTCCAACAATTCACTTTTTGACAAACCTTAATGGGTTAAATATAAATAAACACTGACTACATTTCAATTCATCAAAGTTGTGTATTCTTGTATGGGTATTAACCATTTACATTAAAAATTGTGATGTAAAGGAAATTGCAGAATATATTTTAATTAACAATTTTTAACACATAAATTAGATAAAATAAAACATATCACATGACTATAAAATATTGAAACTATACATTTGGCTAAATTCCACATGGCAATAGTAGGTTACACCATTTTAACAGGGTTCATTTAGGTATATATAAAGAATGCTGAGAGTGCATAGCCTCCAGAAGTGTATAACACAACATTGAGAATTTCCCATTAGTTACCTACTTATTTCACCTTAGCCACAACTTCAATCGCAATGCATCTACACCATTAAGATAATATCGAAATAAGCGTTTGTCACGAACAAAGCCCAAATTTTCATACAGCTTCAAGGCTGGTTTGTTTGTGATTTCAGTTTCTAGTACCACTTCATCCGCATTGTCATTAATCATTGCCTGCAACAAATTAAATATAAATGTCATATATTAGGAAACTTGAATAAATGAATTATGTTTTCCCTCAAAGAATAATTACTCTGTAAGGAATGAAAAAACATTATTAAATCTATTTTAACAATATATATATATATATATATATATATATATATATATATATGTTTTATTGCTGTATACAACTGTTGTGGCATAATCATAATAGTATCATCATCATATCAGCTATTATCTGTCCACTGCTGAACATAGGCTTCACCCATAGACTGCATATATGCATGCCATAAGGATCTTTCTGCAATACATTTGAAATCGTCACTTCATCATCATAGGGGGGGGGGGGGGGGGGGGGGCTACACACACTGTATTTGCCCATAGCTGGCCCCTCTCAAGAACCTTTCTTCCTCATCAGTTTTATTACATAAGCAGTAGTAGTAATTATAGTAGTGGAATAATGTTAAATAACATGCACATATTTTTATAAGACACAAAAAAAAAATATATTTGATTATTTTTCAATTATAATATTTTGATCTTCTTCTCCTGTTCTATATTATAAATGAACATAGTGACACTTTATCAAATATATTGTACTGAAATTATCTAATAAGAATCTAATGAGAAAATATTTACAGTCTACAATATTTCATCTTCAAATATTGTTTTGCGAAGAATATGAAAAATCATAACTACTAGATAAGTTTTTTTTTGGCTTATCTATTTACTTTCATCTTACTAACATTGTAATTAAATGATGTCTGTACATGGAAAATATTTAAGAGAAATATATATGAAGGGTCTTAATACATGACCAATAGATATCAAAATAATAATTTTTAGAAGTTTAGTCTGTGTGTTTGTTCCATTATCATGCAAAAACTACTGCATCAAGTTGTATTCCTGAAGGTCTAACCTAAAAACTGGTGTGGTGTATGTTTTATCATAGTACTATACTATCTAGAAGTGACCTATTTTATTAGTTTCACTACTATTAAAAGCTGAAAATCTACTTTTAAAAGAAGTAGTAGGCAAAAAGTGAGTGTTAAATATTAAAGTTATTACTACTGTACAATATAAGACTAGTATTCATTTAAAGCAATCCAGTAACAGTAATAATAATATATAATAATATAAATATTTTACAATTTGCTATCATTTTATGAACATGTTTTTGAATCATTGTCAATGCATTTCTATATTATTTTTATCTAGGTAATTATATTAATATAATTTAGTTTTTTAAATGATAATGTATTAAACAGGTTTTTTTTTTTAATTTATGTATATATTTTAAATGCAAAAAATTAATACTATGTCCAGATTACATAATATCTGACCAATACCTATTGGTAAATATATTCCTTATGAGAGACATCCATAAAGCAAAACAGTGAAACTCATAAAAAAATTAAGCAAATTGCAAATGTATTATGCTATAATGAACAATTTGAATCATTTGTTTCTAACCTGTCAAACATATTTATTTATGTATGTTGTGGCCTTTAATGTTTTAGTTATTGGGGGATTATATTATTATATTGGGTAAGATTTTGCAACATTGGGAAATAATAAACTGCAAAAATAGTTTGCGAAGTGAATACCATAATTAAAGAAGACAAAGGATTATATTAAAAAAAAATAGTCTTACAAGACAAATATATATGAAAGTAGATAAAATAACATTTATCACAATTTATTAAAATTACTGATGAGTGATTGTAGGCATAGAACAGAAAATAGGGAACTCACCAACACCAAACGGAAAAGTAAAGCTCAGATTGTTCACAGTATATATATACAATATTAAATAGACAAATTGCTATATCACTTATTTTGTATTTTTAAATAATTTTAAGATTAATGAGTAAAGAAAATTATTAAACTCCTACCTGTATTGCCTTTCTCACCAATCTAGAGCCGATCCCTCTCTTCCTATACTTTTTATCCACAGCTAACATAGCAATATACCCTCTTTTAACAACATTGCGGTGCATATCTAACTTACATACAATGGCACCAATACATGTTCCTTCATGGATTGCTAAAAAGCAGAGTTTAGGCCAGTTATGTATAAAATATCTATATGTATAGATTGAGTATGGTTCAGATAGATCCTTTTGTATAAGTCTCATGATTTCAGGCATCTGCAATTCAGATTCATATGAAATAATACCAATCTCATCTTGTTTTGACTCTTCTTGAAAACTGTGACTGCTATTTATTACTTCTAATTTGCCTTCATCATTACATCTGACCAGACCAGAAGACAAGTTTGTCTCCGTGTTGTCCTGATGACTATTGTTGTCACTAAACTGTACACTATTTACATTTATTGCACCTTCACTGACATCACCTTGTGCTTCAGTTATATCATTAGTATCAATGGAACTTTCCTCTTTTGAATGGTCAGTTGTCCCATTAGTTAGGTTACTAATTATGTTGTTAATATGAAGTGTGTTAACTAACGCTTCGCTCAACTTTTCATCCAATATACTTATATCATCGGATGTTTCCGAAGGATCTTTGGCCTTTTTGCTTTTGTTTTTCATATTAGTATTCATCTGATTGCAATTAATCTGTACATTGTCCTCTACTACTTTATTCATAATGGCGTACAATCTATTGTATATACACATACACACTGTTTTAAGCTCATGTAAATGTTTCAAAAGCTTTTAGGACGATACACGCATTTTTTCCTTGTCAAAATTGTGGAAGAGTATCACCGACATCTTGCCAAGTATAAAATTTTTGCTTCTTTATTCAAAATGTGATTTGACTGGAGTAATGTGCGTTCTTGGTTTGTAAAAGGTATTTAAAAAGAAAATAACAAAATTTAATTAAGAAATATGAAATTACTTCTTGGAAATATTAGAATATATGACAAGTCCGTAATTGTAAATCTACATAGTCTTGTACAATTCACTTTTCACACACATTGCAAATGCAAAAAATAATAAAATAGTTTTTTTAATGGTTTTACGGCAAAGGATACTTAGTTTTTATATCTTACAATGGTACTTACTGGGTGAAGCAAATAATTTACATTTGCACGATCTTTGCTTTTAATCTTAAATTTTGATATATTTTGTATTAGTATATTAGGTAGTTGCAAACGATTAGCAAATCATAATAAATTCTGCGGAGCTGTTACTACGCCTCTGCAGAGTAATATAGGAACTATAATCAATTTTTGAATTACATAGACTGAGAATACAAGATAGCATCCTTTATCTATGATAAATTAGTTCTATCTATTAGCACTTAATCGGTGATGAGAACTAATTTTTAAAAAAAAATTTGAATACAACGATAATATAAAATAACAATACAACGTATCTGTGTGATTTGGATAATACTACATAATTTTTTTTTTCGACAAATAGGTAACGATACATACAAGCGGTAGGAGAGATTTTGCCTCACTTTGCGTGTTCTACCACTTGTACAACGGATTATGCTTAGAGGAATTGTTCAATGTAATGTCTACTTTCTACCATCGTACAGCTCGCCATCGACAGTTTTCATCCGTCATTCCATCAGAGTTCATCCTCATACCCTACAGCCTAAATGGTCGCCTACAACGCGGTTTAAGATATGTTTACTCCAACAAACACAGGTTATGAAATGAGCTCCCTACCAATGTTTTCCCAAGAGACTACAGGATGGGGTTCCTCAAAAGAGGAGTAAAGAGCTTTTTTCAGTGTCGGTAACGCGCGCGTAATACCCCTGGTATTGCAGGTGTTTATAGGCTACGATAACCTCAGGATAATACCATCAGGTGGAAAAAAACATTACGAAGCGATTGAAAACTATTTATTGTAAGTGTAAATGTTAATTATAAGTTAAATTAGCTTACGGAACAAGTAGTTTCAATGGAACTTTATAGTTGCAGCACTGGAATGTGGTTCGATCTTGAATATAAAAATATAGTACCAAACAAGTTGTGGAGTTTGAATCCTATCATACCAAATTTTGAATGAAGGAGCGAATTATTTTCAAATATCATAATTGTTATAAATTTATTACAAAACAATAGGGTTGAGTAGTAAACCATGAAAGGGCTGGAAAAGCTCATTTTATTTTTAACGATTTTAAATTTCAAAACTTAAAAAATTTTCCATTTGTCTTTTTTGGGATTGGCTATATTCGGCCATATATATTTTTAACAGAAAGGGTGTACATGGGGTTGATTATGTACCTATTTAATAATTAAAGTGTTTTTTTTACGAGTTAATTAATAATTTTAAGACTGTTATGGGTAGTGATTATTTGCTCTGTGCTGTTGTGGTAAAAGAATTAAATGATCATTGCCTTGCTTTTATCATGTTACGTATTAGGGGTGGGCCCACGATGATTGTTTTTCATTCGAAATAATCACTTCCGTATTTTTTTACCCGCATACAAATTTTGTGAACATAAAATTACATTTTTTTTTTAGAAACAATCTTTAATAATCTATTATGATAAATCCGTTGACCGACCAAATCTGACCAAAAGTTTAATAATAATGGTTTCTGGGAAAGTATTATATTATTCGTAAGAGTCAGAGAATCAATGTGACATCTAATGGCATTGGGGATATTGCAAGTAATGCGAACTAACAGTCCCATTGCTAGTAATATACCGTCGGGCAAATAGATTTCCATGTGGCCTGTCCTGCTTGTGTTGTTGCGATTATTAAAGTAGGTATACTTATTATATACTGCTTCATTTTTCTGGTTGTATTATTTGTTTTATGAGTGTTCTTTAATGTACTCGTAAATAAAGAAAAAATACTATTATCACTGATGGGGTAATCAAATCAAATATATTTCCTAGCTAGATAATTTCTTAACAGAATTCTGTGAATGCAAATTAGACAAGTAATGCTTTTTTATTCAGCTTATATAGGCAAATAAGATTTCCTGATGCAAAGAGGTAATCCATGAAAAACACCACAGACAGGTATCTGTGGATACTTTGTCTGACGTCTATGGTAATACGCATGCGCTTCCATTCCTAAAGATCGTTTGGTGTTACCGTTGCTATCAAAAATTGAACCTTTATTCTTGTTACTATCAATTATTCCTGTTACAATCATTTTCCCCAATTTATATTAATTTCTGTTGTAGTGAATCTGACAAACCAACACTTTACCAAGAATATTTGAATCCAATGAGGCGAAGGGCGGGGGGGGGGGCTGGGAGAGATTGTTGTAATGCGGACTACCAGCCCCATTGTTAACAATATTCCCTGTCAGTTCGACCTCCAAGTGTTCCTACCTGTAAAATATCGTGCTGAATTCTAGGTGTATTCATCACGATGGGCTATCTGACCTCCCTTTTCATTCCACCTATTATCCCTCATTGATGCTCCGCCAGCGTATACTGTTAGCGCAGGCGGGGGTGATCATTCCATTGTCATTAATTAAAAAAAATTCAACGGGGCGGGGAAGGAGTCAATAATTAAACTAATAATAATCCTATTATTATAATAAATGTAAAGTTTGTACGATGGATGAATGAACGGACGGACGGAGGGACGGACGGATGGATGGATAGATATTATTAATTGCTCTTTCACATAAAATGTAATGAACAGATTTCAATGAAATTTGGTACACGGCTAGGTTATATTCTAATTTAGCACATACAATACTTTATATATTGATTCACGCGGAGGGAGCCGCGGGATACAGCTAGTATTTAATACATTATATAGTATGATAATATGATGAGTACAGCGTAATCATTACCATCCCCTTACAGAAATAATCCACCAGTGAAACTGAACATTGTTCTTAAAAGAGAATGAATAAAAAAATAAAAAAATTCAAGTCTCCTGTAATATAGGACCTATATTATCAACACGGCGCGTTTAACTATCAAGTTTTTATAGATTTGTTTTTCAATCTGTTTTTCTTTTTATAAAAAAGAAAATCAGTTACACTTACTGAACCATAGACTCAGTATAACATACTTAAAGATAGAACTGTTTTTTTTAACGGCTGAAAATGGATTGGTAACTCCGCCTAGGCTATCAGTATACGCTGGGGGAAAATTGGTGAGGAATGATAGGTGGAAATAAAAAGGCAGGTTAGTTAGCCCATCGTGATAAACTCACCAGGAATTCAGCACGATAGTTTCCAAGGGGGCCCACGTAAAGGTCGATCTGATAGGATATATTGCTAGAAATGGGACACCAGTCCCATTCCTAGACTACCAAGTCTATATTACTAACAATCCCTTCTTTCCGGTAGAACTGTGTTAAGTTGACTGGAACAGATATCTTTTAGACATAAGACCGCCTTTACTTCCAAATATTCTTATTACGTATGTTTTAGTGCAGTACAGAATTTTATATTCATTTAAAAGAATCCTAGTGATTGCGATTTTACCTAGTAGGTATATTATTTGTACAAAACTTGTCTATTTGTAGCTGAATACAAATTCCGCTTAGTTTGAGACTAGATGGCGGTGTGCAAGATGCCCAAGGCTGTGATAATTAGTTTCACAACATCTACTTATGAGACTACACATATGGTGTAATAAGTACCTAAGATGTTTATAAAACTTTCAGATTTTTACGGTTGTTTCGTGGTAATTACTCAAATGTACATTCATAATTTTTTTACGGGATTTCGTATTTATACTCAATGGTTGGTAGGTATATATCTACGTGCAGCCCAAATAGTCTTATAGGATGCTTTTGTAAGATTTATGGTCATATGTAATAAATGTTAATTCGATTCCCATAAAACAATTTTTTTGATAAATCGATTGTCAGAATATTATTTTGCCCGTTGGCAGATTATTTATTTAACCGACTTTAAAAGGGAGGAAATTTTCAATACGGTTGTAATTTTTTTTATGTTTGTTACCTCATAACTTAGTCAGTTGTAAACCAATTTGGAAAATTATTTTTTTACATTTACAGATTGATATCATAGAAATTTTATAAAAATCGGTTCAGTAGTGTAATTTTTAAAACGAAATAAGTATTTATCTAGTTTTGTCACAATTTTTTGTAGTGGAACACAGTTTTAATTATTTGTTACACTTAAGTACGAATGAAATATCTACATAATTGTATATATTATTTACTGGTTAACATTTAGTGTATAATAATTTAGTCATTATTAAATGGTGGATGGATTAAAGTATGTGTCGTTAATAATGGTTATGTCGATTGTAGATAGATTTATCAGCCTCTGACGTCATGAGAAGAAACATGGCGGGTCGCTGAAAGCGCGCGCGTGTCGCTGAGTAGCCTAGCCAGCAGGTTTGCTTGTTCCACGAGTACTCAACTCGATCGACGATCGACTGGCTGGAGTTCAGTACCCGGTTGACAGCCGGTGAGGCGGCGGCGTCACGCGAATCCCTAGCTTATATTACGCGCACGCCGCCTCTGCGCGATTTTTCTAATATAATGTAAATATTTTTTGTATACACGCTTTTTGTCATAAGTCTTAAATTACCGTGCGTTTTGGAATCGTACCTCATCCTAATCGAATTAGGTTCAAATTGTGCTATTATGACGGAACATCTACGTTTGATATCTGTCTACACTGTATAGTATTGGACCCCTTATATTAAATATCGAGTAATAAAACAGTTATGAATGAATAAATGTGTATGCACGCAGCTTAGTGAACTTGTGAACTTTAAAATAAGTTAAACCTACCTATATAGGTATAAACCGATCCAACACCTATTTATAATAGTGTTTAGATGTTAATTCTTATTTGTCGGCGTTGGTGAAAACAACTGACAATCGCAAATGGATAAACAGAAGTGATTCATTTAGTACCCAACTATTTAATGTTTACTTAGTTTTTAAATCACCAGATTTCTCTGGTCAACTATGTCAAGTCTGGTGATTAACAAGTCTACAATGGCGGATCGTGAACGTCCTGCAAAAAACCCCATTAGGGTGGGATTTTACGACATTGAGAGGACCATTGGCAAAGGGAATTTTGCCGTCGTTAAGTTAGCACGACATCGAATTACGAAGACTGAGGTAAGAGATAGAAATATGCCTAATATATAGGTTAAATGATCTGATTTAAATGTGTTTTATTATAGATTTGCTTCAGCCTATTCAAACCGAATCCCCAAGGGAAACTCCTTTCAGCTATTTACCTATTATACTTAGTAAGGTATATACAGTACAGAATTAGGGGGGGGGGGGAAGGGATTGTTAGTAATGGAGACTGAGAATCCCATTGCTAGCAAAATACCCAACCAGAGCGTCCTCCTCGCGGTTCTTCCTGGAAACTATCATGGTTAATTCCTGATGAATTCATCATGATGGGTTAACTGACCTATTTTCATTTTCATCTATTCACCGTTAACTGGTCCTTCGCCAGCGTATCCCGTTAGCGCAGGCGGGGTTACCATACCATTTTCACCCATAAAAAAAAAGTACAGAATGAATTTTTTAAGCATGCACGGTTGGCAAAATCCGAAATTTACAAATAGCGAAAAATACAGACAGGAAGGACGAAACCGTTTTGTATAAATATTTTTTTATGCGACTTAGAATGGCAAACAAGCTGACGGCCCACCTGATGGAAAGTGGTAATCGTCGTCTATACGTTGTCGTTATCGCTGTGTCTGTGTCTTAAATGGTAGTATAAAATTTAAAAAAAAATATTTTTAGAAGTGTTTCGAACTCGTTTATTGTGAAAAATGTACACCTGTACTATTACATCGGTTAAAACATTTTAATTTTTTTCCGGTACCAATCGGTAGGTACACTAATATGTAACTACTTAAAGACGAATTTTACAAGTGAGTGTGAATTGTCGTGGGTCTGCTAAATTGAAAAGCGTTCTGAAATAGAAAATAATATTTAAAACACTAGAAGTGGATCTATGATTACATTACATGCAATCAATCTTGTCAATTGTAAAAACAACTTATATTGTATTATACATTACTCGAAATATAATTTAATTTATAAAAATAAAATTTTGTGAAGTAATAGGTAAGTAACCGTCTCTATCAAACGAGAAATTGTAGGGCATGTTTAATTTTTAACAAAATACATGTGAAGATGTTATAGAAGAAATCTCCCTGACTCGTATTTTTTTTAACATGGTGTATTAGACTTTTATATGAAGCCTTTTATGTGACAATGGTATCATTTAAGGATTGTTAGTGATACGCACTACCAGGCCCATTTTATAATCGATCGTATTTGCTAGCAATATATCCAGTCAGGTCGACCTCCACATGACCCCCACCTGGAAACTACCGCGTTAAAATATTTGTGTATGCATCAAGATGGGCTAACTGACCTTCCTTTTCATTCTCATCTATCATCCTTCACTGGTGCCCCGTGAGCGTATACCGTTACCCCAGGCGGGGTTACCATTCTGTTATCATCCATTAAAAAAAAAGGTGTTATAGGGAAACCTGTAAAAAGACAATAATCTGACATTTTTAGCAAGATGACGTACGTAAAAGTTATAAAAAACGATACATAATATAATAAAAGAGAGAGAATAATAAATTCCTATCCCTTGAGTGCCTAAGAGGCGACTAAGAAACTTAATGGTTGAGGGACGGGCAGCAGCGTCCCTCTTAAAATATCACTAAAGCCTAACTGCGGTTGTCAACCCGCCTACTATTGGGGGAAAGGGATTGTAAGTAATGGAGACTAAAAATCCCATTGCTAGCAATATAACCAACCGGGAGGAAAGGGATTGTTAGTAATGGAGACTAAGAATCCCATTCCAAGCAATATAACTAGGTCGACCTCCTCGTGGTTCCCCCTGGAAACTATCATGATTAATTCCAGATGAATTAACCATGATGGGCTAACTGGCCTGTTTTCATTCTCATCGATCACCCTTCACTGGTGCTCCGCCAGCGTATCCCGTTAGCGCAGGCGGGGTTACCATTCCATTTTCATCCAACAAAAAAAAAACCCGCCTACTAAGCATGGCAAATATCGGCAAAACCGCCCCAATATATTCAGTAGACAGTTAACGGCTGACATGATGATAATAAACGAAATAAATGTTATTTCAATAATCGAGTAACAAACTTGCAGTAACAGATAATTTAAAATCGTAAAGCTAGTAATAGTGTGATTTCGAAACTATATACAGAGATTATTCTGCTCGCACCTGCTCAAAGGACTTCAAAAATAACTTTTTTTTATATTAAGTAATATCTTCGACAGTTCTAAACACATTTTAATTATATTTTTTGCAATTGATAGAGTTTACTCCACAGTATTTGGTTTCATATTTTCTTTTGGGAGTAGTTTTAATCTATTTAAACAATACTTATTCAAACGTCTGAAAATTGATAGTGGCCGATGATAAGGCGTGTTTACCCTACGAATACTACTAATAGGATATACATCTATCTATGTATCTACATCTATATTTATATAAATATATATAAGATATATTAAGTAATTTTAATACTTTATCATTACAGTGTTATTAGTGACAACTCATAAATACATTACGTAACTATTTAGGTACCTAACATCTTTATATTTACTTAAGTATACGATATACTCAGGTGTTTTAAAAAGGATAAATTTGAATTTTAATTGAATATTTTATATTATAGAAAGCTTTACTTTATAGCAATGTTTACGAACGTGTATTGAATTAATCAGTCAAGACCTTTATTCGTTTCGCAATAAAATAATATTTGCTACTGATATAGACATCTCCATTTATGAATAGAAATTACAAGTCTGCGATTGTAAAATTTATGCCAATAAATTTTAAATTAATCGACACAGAAAAAGAAGGGGTTTTTATATTCAGTGCCAATTTTTTTTTGGATGTACACCGATGACGTACACCGACATTTCTCCGACATGTATAGACTGGCCGGATTCACATGATTATTTTTTTAATGAACTTCCAAAATGGTCTCAAACCATTGTTTAATTATAATTTATAATAAATAAAAGTTACATAATAGTAAACAAGGAAAAGATTAAGGCAATAAGCGCACCTATTTAAATTAGTTGTTTTGTTTAAAACTACTCTAACAGCCTAATACGTAATCTAAGAAACGAAATTTACGAAATTTAAATTGTTTGTTGACAATTTATATTTAGGTACCAACTCCTAGTATAAAAAAATATGTGTATATATTATGAATAATATTGCAAATATCTGTAATTTATTGGCTGGATGAATGTCTATTATGATAGAAATTGGTAAATATAAACCTTTAATATGAATTTAATAACCCTAAATACAATATAACAATATTATTTAGCAATTTTTATTTCTTTATTACAGTGTAATTAAAGCTTCATTCTCACAATGGTTCTTCATGTTATAATTTATTTACTTATTAAGGTACACGCACATGAATTATGAAAGATTAGACACGAATAAGTATATCCAAAAAATACGATACGAGATGAATCGTCATAACTTGTCACTATTCATAATTGGAGTGTACAATTTGAATATCTATTCTTCTTTACGTCATCATTATTTAGGATGACCCTTAAATGATTGCCTGAAATAGGAACACATACAGTGTGTGCTATATGTTATAATTGCTTCTCGAGATGTCGTCAGAGGTGACTAAGGAAATATAGCTAAAAGAAGAACCAGTGCAAGAAAAGAAATAATCGAAATGAAAGCGCAACACTAATTCGTTTATATTCGGCTATAGTGGTAATAGTAGGTTAATATCCTCCTTTTATGGGGAGAGACAAGCATTGAAACATTGATGGGCTGTTATGGAAGTTGATGATCAATTTGACAAACAATCGTATTAAAACCATAATTGTGTTTTTAATACGATTGTTTGTTGCACGAGAGGCAATACTAGCTTTACTGGATTGTATTTACTCATATTGTTGAGTCGTTAAGGTGCCAAAACCCTAAAACGAAACAAACAAATCCCTTTCCATGTTCATAGTATTAGTAGTTACTGTAAAATGCACGTATATTCATCGTTGTCATGCTGCCTGTTGTATGGGGCTAAAAAATCATGTGCTTATGTAATCGTGGTGTTGAAATTTAGGAACGAGCTGGAAGTCGGGTGAGAGTATTCTAAGTAATTTAGGATTTCTTTAGGAAGCTTGTGACGTAAACCGTTGCTGACCTTTTAGAAGTCTAGGTTGGCTGAGTCATAGATAATATAATACAGAACTAACCACATTCCCACGCATAATGACTTACCCACGAGGTTAAGTACGGAGTTATATGGTTAAAATAGGTAACTAACGAATTGTCAATGATGAAAGCTTAGATTATGAATAAGAATGTTAAGATCAGTTGTATGATTTTTTAATAAATTAAATGGGAGTAGTACGTTGTCGGTTTATGTTAGTGGGGTACCAGTGAGGGCTGATAGGTGGCGATGAAGTCAATTTATCTATATATAGATTAGGCCCATCGTGATAAATAAGACATGAATTTAACTACGATGGTTTTCAGTTCGGGGGCCGAATATAGGTCGATTTGACAAAACATATTACTAACAAATGAGCTGTTAGTCCTTGTTACTAAGTAGTTTCTTTCATCTCCGTAAATCACTTATTTGTAAAATATAATAGAAGGTATTGTAGATAGGTAGGCACCGATGACACTAATAGGCACCCCAACGACCGAGGTACCTATTAGAGTCATTAGTAGCTAGTCGAGTTACATCATTAGTATCACTGTGCACGCGCATGATAGAAATACATATGATAATAATTTGTGAAATCAAGGTCTCTACAAATTGTTACCATCATGAGAAAACGTTTCTATATTCAGCAATGGTCATGTAGCTTTTGTTTGTTGTTAACCATTTGGTAGTTAATAAATAACAGAATAATTACAACAGTAAAGTACCAGACTAACCTACTCGTGAGTCCACGGCACCGAAGTGGGTCATTGGCCGAATACTGTGGCGTCGTCGCTGTGAATGACTCACTGATTGCATTTGTATGAACGACTTTCTAAATACTTATTCTGTATTGATTTAGGATCATCATTTGATTAGAGAACTTATTAGAAAGTTGTATATCTCGACGGT